TTTTTTGTTTCTTTTTTTTAATCAGATTTTATTGGTACAGTTTAGATATATATAATGATCACATTCACCATAGAGAATTTGTATCTGTACATGATAGAACTTGATTCTTCTTTCCCCATTCCCCTGGTTCCTTTACCCCGTGGCCTCCCCATTTTCAAAAGCTTTGTTTCCATTCTTTTCTTCCCCCCCCCCTTCTTTCCTATCCCCTTTCCCACTCCCTTGGCCTCTCCCTATTTGAACATTTTCTTTCTGTTTCATACAACCTGATACACATTTTGGTCCTTCTTAACTTTGGTTTCTCAGTTTTATCTTTTAATAATCCAGGGATTTTGCTTCCCTCTTCACTTCGTGGTTGAGTCTCACTCTGTCTCCATCCACATGACCTTATTTCTATTTCCTTAACCACCTACCCTTCCTTGCCTGCTCCCTCTGGCTTTGAAGAATCCTCAACAGCCCATACTTCTAAGCAGTAGGATTAGCTCTAACTCAGTGGTGTTGAACTAATGGCATGCATGTGGCAGCAGGCTCACGAAGCCCTCTTGTCGGCATGCAAGTCAAGTGTAAGAGTTGTCTTTCCTAAACTCAAACCTTAGTATTCAGTTTCAATTGCAGTGTTAGCACCTCTTGATAAATAAGTGGGTTTTGGGTTGTAGTTTGTGAAAGAGTTTTTGGTACAGTTAGAAAACAGAATATAAAGTAAAGTGGTCTTTATTTTAAAGATGCGAAGAGAAGCTCCATGATCTCCGGGGTCTGGCTTTCTCTGCGTGTTACGCGGTGTGGGGACATACATATAGCTTTGGTCTGGGGTGGTGCCTAAAGGGGCATTACTGATGCCCCAGCAGCTGATTGAAAGTCATTTCACACCACAGGTAAATTGCCTAGGTGCGGGAAAGAGGACCTCAAGATAAAGCCCCTTGGTTTGACCTCCCACTGCTGTAGTATCCTATCTAGGGCAAAATCCTTTCAGTTTGGGCATGTAGTTTCTAAAAGGTAGACTCTCACTGCTCTAACTGATCTGATTTTGAACAATGTTAGCTTCCTATTATGGTAACTGATGACGTACCTTTTTTTTTTTTTTTTAACTAATAACACCTTTGGCCTACATGTACCATCCCAAAGTAGAGAGTTCTGTTACAAGACTTTATCACATCAGTATTGTGTTATTGTGTGAATATTGTTACAGAACCACTGTGTATATTTTCCTTTTCGTACAAGTTTTTGTTTTTCCTGGAGCTAATGATTCCTGATAAAGTCAGGTAGTCTTGCAGCTCTTTGTCCTCAGAGATGAATCCTTGTAGCCAGAGTATTCTCCAGCATAGGCTGCTAGCCTTGGGGCCTGTTGGCTACAAGGCTCTTATCTTGTGACTTTTTTCATCATTTTTTAGAAGTCAATTCCCTGTGTTTGTTTTGTTTTTCCTCTTTTTGCTAAAGAAGGAGGTTTTTTTGTTTGTTTGTTTGTTTTTTGTTGGATTTTTTTTTTTTTTTTTTTTTTTTTTTTTTTTGTCTTTTTTGTTTTTATGGGTACCAGGGATCGAACTCACAACTGTCTGCTTGCAAGGCAGGCACTTATGCCGCTGAGCTAAATCCCCAGCCCCTAAAGAAGGAGTTTTGTGGCTTTTTGTCTGTTTGAAAACATTACTCCTCTCTCAATTTTGATTGAAAATGTGCCTATGTATAGAGTCCTAGGTTGAAATTATTGTTTCTTGTATTGTTAAGAGTGGTTGATACTTTTATCTACCATTTTTCTGTAAATTGTGTGACCTGGCTGGTTCCTTTTCTTCTATGAATGAGCTGTGTTTGCTCTGGGAATCCTTAGACTCTTCTGTCATTGTTGTGTAGATGTCCTTGGCTGCTTCTATTCAGCACTTGTGTTGGTGCTCTTTTATCCTAGGACTTTTTTAGAATTTATCAATCAGATGACAGGGACCACCCAACCCCATCCTGTTTTATTCTTCCTGTTGTCTATCTCCTTTTCACTTTCTCCTTTTGAAAAAGTTTTGAGGCTTTCATTATCATTGCTCAGATTGGATTTCAGGTAGCACTTCTTCGTCCTGTTTCCTTTCTCAGCCTGGAGGACCTAGTTGGGTGTTATGGCTGAGAGGCCTAAAGCAGTTGGTGCTGTTCTGGCATCCACCTTCTCTACCAGGCAAGGGTGATGGAGTTTTGCTGCAGGGAGGCACTCAGCCAGATGCTGGGGGGGGGGGGGCTCCCTGGACACTGATGCTCAGTTTTGACATATTTAACACACAGTATCTCTTTCCTTTGTTTTGGTAACTTCTCTCACTTGTACCCAAATCTGAGCTATAGATTTATGTTTAAGAATGAAGCAGTTGAGAAGCCAGTAGGCTGTTCTGTGAACAGGTGGACTTTGAGGACTCTAAATGTTTGCATATTGAGGCTTTTTCTTCCAGGCTTTGGCATTTCAGAGAGGAACCCGGGAGAGATGGGTTGTTGAGCTCCCGGGAGCTAATATCCTAGGAGCATGACATGGAAATAGTGATCCTAACAAGATGGGATGGAGTCTTGTGCACCTAGCAGTTCTATAAACAAACATTCTGCATCTCTGTGCCAGCACCTGGCTTGAGCTCTACACCATGAGGCTTGGAACTTGTGTGCACTTGGTTTCAAAGCATCTGCACCCACTTCTGTGCAATCCTCCACAGTATATGTTTGACAGGCACTGTACACAGGTTCTGTGAATACGTGTGGTTCACCACTTTCAGCAAGAAGTCTGAGATGTACCTCCAAGCTGCTGGTGACGGCTAGGTTTTGAGGTAATCTGAACATCCAGCAAGATGCTATGAAACTGTAAGACAGCCAGCCACCTTATAGCTAACTGCCTCAGAACAGTTTGTGGAACCACTGTGACTGAGTAGAGTCCCAATACTGCTATAGGACTGCCAGGGGGTATCAAGCTGTGCCATGGGCAGACACACTAGTAGGAAAGTGGAGGCAGAACCAAGTCACCTCAAAGTACATGGAGGTGTTGAAATACCCAGTGCTCTATGTCAACACCGTATTTATGCTTTTAGCATCAGTTTCACTTTGTGAAACAGTGTCTATCAAATAAATTGATGCTAATAATTTAAATTTCACTGCTTTTGTAATTTTGTAGACATGTAGTTCATAAGAGTCATTTCAAGCTGGGCAAGACAACTGCACATCTATAATTGCAGCATTATGGGAGACTAAGACAGGTAGATTTAAACCCAAGCCAGGAAACTTAGCAAGATCCTGACTCAAAATAAAAATAAACAAACAGGCAAATGTGTATGTACATACATACATATGTACACAAAGGGCAGGGAATTTAGCTTAGTACAAGGGTCCCGGGTTGGTTCGATTACCAGTACAAAAAAGTAGACAAACCAAAAAAAAACCTCAGTCCATTTTAATTAAATGTGAAAATCATTGACAGAATACCATTAATTATATAGTCTTGTGTATCCTTTGGTATAAATGATATAAGTTTAGTTGCTTTTACTCCAATACAGAAAATTTTGTTTTCATTTTAAGCACAGTAGGTTGTTTTGAGTAATTTAAGAATTGATGGACGGAATGTACAGTTTAGTAGTAGAGCACTTGGCTAGCATGCACCAAGCCCTGGGTTCAGTATGCTGCACTACAGAAACAGATTGAGAGAGAAGCTTTGATAAGGAGTAGCTTCATCCTTTCCCCAAGTGTCACAGAAGTTTTGTTTTGTTTTTGCTTTAAAGAAAGTAATTGCAGCCATGAAATTCAGTTGCGGAAGCAGTGAACAGTGCCAAGTATCATCAAGTTCACTCCGCAGATGTTGGCAGGAAACTACATGTTAATGACTATTTGATTAAAGTGTTTGTGTGGACCTTTAAGAATTGCATTCTTCTCTTGCCATTTGGGGTAGGGGGTAGTTAGTTTCAAGTATTCTTGACCTTTAGGTCCATTTCTTATTAGTAGATACGTTGCTTCCAATAACTATGTAGTTTTGTCTTCAAAAACCTCCATTAGTGATGCTGCAGACCTTGGTGCACAGAATGGCCATCCTGCATGGCTGTGTCTGATGGATCAAGCCCTTCTTGCAACTGCAGCACTTCAGACTAAGGTGTGCTGTCCAATTGTGGTCCCAGGACACACCCACCCAATCAGCCCTCAGTGTGCAACCTACTTCTTGTTTAGGCAGCATATGACCAGGTTCCTCCAGAGTCCATTGCAGAGCCTTTTCTTGAAAATACAAGATTTTTTTTCATGACACAGACTTGGTATAGTTTTCTTGATTTAATAGTATATATTACCCAAGTGTGATAATAGATACCTGTAAATATCAGGATCCTGAGAGGTTAAGACATGAAAGTTTCAGCTTTGAACTCAACTTGGACAACTTGGTGAGAACCTAGTTCAGAATATAAAAACAGAGAGGATGAGAGATGTAATTCAGTGTGAAGGCCCTAGGTTTAGTCTTCAGTATGGGAGAAAGGAAAAACAGTCATCAGTTGCAGATCTGTTCCCTCTAATCCAAAGGATTTACTTCAGAGAAGCAAAGAACTTTTCCAGTGATTATTTTTGTTCTTTGACCCCATAATCTTTATTTCCAGTAAGCCATGAGATATTTGTCTTGTGAGGCCAGAAATCACAAATCTCACTTTGTAATGATGTCATTATCAAAGGAACGTTGATTTTATCCAGACACAGATATAGAATGCATACTGTCTAATATTTTATATGGAAGCCAACAAAAGTTATTGTGTATAACATTAAACATTTAGTAGACAGTTTAGTCTAGATAAATGCTTATATGCCAGGACCAGGTGTTCGATCAGTGGAATCACATTCAGAAATTTGTATGTGCTGATTTGCTCTCTATCCTAGAGACAGTCACTTGGTAGTTATAAGTTTGTCATGGAAGTTTCACTTTGTTCAGGGAGAAAATTGGTGTGTTCGTGTGTTTTCATCTTTTGGTTTTTGATATTCCTTGTGACTCCTCCCAAAAACAGTCTATAATTGCCTTTCTATTTTATTGACAGCTGACATCATTTCAACTGTTGAATTTAATTACTCTGGAGATCTTCTTGCAACAGGAGACAAGGGTGGCAGAGTTGTTATTTTTCAACGGGAACAAGAGGTGAGTAATTTACAATCCACAAATCAAATGAAATAATTCAACCCTTTCCATGTCACTTATGAGAAAGGAAGCAAAACTGTTTCCTGGTCTTTTGCTTCACATTCATGCCTTTAGACCTTGCTTCAGGGGTAAGCAAGAAGATCTGTGTCTCACTGCCAAGCCTCCTTGAGCCTGGTGCTGTCATGTAAAGTAGGGGAGGAGCCTTATTTTGCCAAAATGCTGAGGAGGAATGGAAGTGAAGGTGTTTGGAATGTGTGTGCTTACCTAGTGATTAACTGAATAGCTTCCTGGAAGTCACTTTGCTGTCCTGCTGTCCACAGAGTACTAAGCACTCATTGCAGAGAAATGATATAGGGCATAGGGCCTCACTTCTTCACCTCCTGAAAGCTTTTCTGTCCTTACGAAAAGGAACTTGCAGGTGAATTCATTCATAAGAGATACCTTTGCCACCACCTTCCCACCACCATTTCCCATAAGTTTCATCAGAGCTCTTAGTGATGATTAAGGGACAAGATTAGTATCTGTGTCAGGTATAGTGGCCCTTGCCTATAATTCCAGCTACTTTGGAGGCTGAGGCAGGAAGATTGTGTGAGCAGCCTGAGTAACTTAGTGTGAGATTTTTTTTGTCTTCAAAAAACAGACATGATGGCTTATGCCTGTAATCCCAGCACTTGGGAGGCTGAGGCAGGAGGATGGCTGCAAGTTGGAGGCCAGCCTGAACTGCATAGTGAGACCTAGTATCAAAAAACCAAAAACAAAACAAAACAAAATGTTTTTTAAGTGCTGGAGGTATGTAGCTCAGTGTAGAGCAGTTGCCTGTCTTGAATAAGCCCTTAAAAAAGAAGGCCAAAGTCTGAGGGAGTATCTGTGGTAGAATATTTTTCTAGCATGTGTGAGGCCAAGTCCCAAATCTCACATACACAGGATTATTTGTTATGAAAGAATGATGATGAGGGAACCAAGAAACACCAAGCCTGGGGCCTCTGCAAAACACTGTCTGGTTTTTTCTCTAACAGAGGCTAAGGCCTTTTATCATTGTAAATTCTAATCTCTATGTGATCAGTATGGTTCAGAGGTCAGTGGGCCCTTTTCCCTTCCCTGTGGATCATCTGTGCTTAAGGCACAAGTGGTTCTGCACTGTTCCCTGCTGTTGGCAAGGGGAGCTTTTAGAAATGGGTAGGACATCCCCTAGGACAGGGGGAATGGGAAAGATGGGTAAAGCTAACAAGTCTCACCAAAATACAGTAAACCTAGTCAGATTGTCAGCACACACTTACAATCCCAGAAATCAGGAGCCTGAGGTAGGAAGATTACCACAAGTTCAAGGCCAGCTTGAACTGCACTGCAAGACCCTGTCTTAAAAAAAAAACCCAACCAAACAAAAAGAGCTAGTCGTGGCTATCATTTTTATTATGTCCATGAAAGATTTTTATGTTTTGGGTTTTGTAGGTCTTTTTAACTTTATATTTTTATTAGTACATATTAATCACATATATTGAGCACATTCTCTTTTTTAAACTTTTATTAACGTGTTTGTGTTAACATACTTGTTGATCACATTGGTACATACGTATTGGTCACATTTTCTTTTTTTGTTTTGTTTTTAATGAAAGATTTTTGAAAGTTTTTTGTGATTTGGGCTGATGAGAAATCCTTTGATGAATAATATGTATATTATCTTTAGTCTTTCTAAGTCTGTATAGGCAATTTAATCAATTTGTAGTTTTATATCCTTATCCCAAAGACAGATTATTAGACAACACTACTTAAGAACCATGTATCTTAGCTTTTCATAGCAAGATTTTTGAACAAACTGTTAAATTCAAAATTTACTTTAAAAAGATTTGCTGTTGATACCTTTACAAAAGATACAATAGCTTTTACCCTTCACAGATCCTAGGATAGAAATTGAAAATTTTCTTGTTTCTTGAAAATTGCTTTGTTTTCTTGTTGCTTAAACTTTAAAAATACTGGCTTCCCCACTTTATATGCTCCACTTTAGTATCTTGAATAACTATTTGTAAGAAGACAATCTGTAATCATCAACTAGTGATTTCTTACTGTTTATTTTTTTCTTTGAAATTATGTACTATTTCTACCCATTTTCTGTTTTGTTTAGTCCTTCTTTAAATTAAATTAAAAAAAAAAAAGACACTACAGTACCCAGTGCTGATCATGGAGTGTCATGATGTGAAATCTAGCAATACTATTATTCTTTATTCAGAATGATTTTAACCTGCTTTAGTTTGTTTAATCTCAACATAAATGAAGATAAGGATAACTGCATGTATATTTAAGTGTATAGGATTGACAGCCATCTTACTAAGTTTTTGTTGGACAGTTGAACAGAACTGTTTGCAGTCTCACTATTTGAATTCCCACTTTATATATTCCTCTTTTATATCTTGAGAAACTATTTGTAAAACAACAATATGTAAACATAAACTAGTGATTTCTTACTGTTTTATTTTTTTCTCTGAACGTATATATTATTTCTACCTATTTTCTGTTTGGTTTAGTCTTTAAATAAAATTTTAAAAAATAATAAAAATAAAAATACTGGCTTCAAGCCGGGAGTGGTGCTACACACCTGTCATCCTAATAGTTGGGAGGCTGAAGCAGAGTATCACTGAGAATTTGAGGCCAACCTGGGCTATATAGTAAGTTCAAGCCAGCCTGAACTGCACAGCAAGCCCTTGTCTCAAGCTGACCCCCTTACTAGCTTCAAATGTAAAAGAAACTATGATAAAAAGTCAAGAATATTGTTCTAAATATATATTTGGATATTGCAGAGTTTTAGTATTTAGTTAAGGGATGTTAAGTCAGGGTGTGAAAGGACAGGCTTGTGCAGGAGCAGATTCCTAAGGTGTCTGTGTAAACCTGATTGACTGCAACTTGATGAACTGTAAGCAGTTTGGTTTTATCTTTATCTTCATATTTTGTTTTTAACATAAGGGCTTTTTGTTCCGTCACCTTTTGGATTCTGACTGCCATGCAGGAGGTACTCTTTGTGCCTGAGTTTTTCCAGTGTTGTTGGGGAGTGTAGACTTCTGTTTTCACCCACAGTCACAGCCACTCTGCTCTCCTGCTGTTAGAGCACAGAGAGCACCCACTGTACAGTTAGGCACCACAGATGTCACATGTGCATCTTAGAATTGTGGGAGCCTGGAAGATTGCTGGAGGTATGGAAGGGGAAGCAGTGGAGTGGTAGCATAGCGGAGCTAGGTTGCTAGGAACCTGTGGGTGAGTTCTGGCTGGGCAGAAGACAGCAGGTAAGTAGAAAGTGTGGCAACTAGTGTTACTGGAGCTTTGTTTTGTTTTGTTTTGTTTTTTAACTAAGGATTAATTCAAGGCCTTTGCATTCAGCTACATCCTTAGCCCTTTTTATTTTGTAGAGATCTCCCCTGCTTTTTTTTTTTTTTTTTTTTTAACTTTTTGTTTTAGGACAGTGTACCTTACTGAGTTGTTCAGTTGCCCAAACTGGGCTCAAACTTGTACTCTTTCTGGCTCAGCCTCCTATGGTGTTGGGATTATAAGTATGTGTCACCACACCTAGCTTGAGCTGTTTTGTTTTTTTTTTTTTTTCATTAATATCAGAACCCTTATCTGTGTTAAATCTTACAGTGAATTTTGTGTGTAAAATGGAAGGATACAGGCATGGCCACCCTCTGAAACTCAGCTCTAGTCTGCCCAGCATTAGTCTCCCCCAGGTATACAGCTTTACCCTGACAGAGTCAGATGGTCCATTAAAGCCAGGAATCAGCATGCACAAAAACAAAATTAGCTTTCTGTCAGTTCCCTTTCCTATTTGTTGTCCTGCCCCAGCACATCTGGCTCACAGACCTCCTTCCACCCTAGTCCCTAAGGCTTCCTTCGGAACTCCTCTCCTCATTTAGAGTGGGAGAGTCTCCCCATGTTCAGAACTTCTCTCCTTGTATAGGGTAGGAGAGTCTCCCCATGTTCAGAACTCCTCCTCACTTATAGTGGGAGAGTCTCCCCATGTGCACTGGGTACTGATGAGTCCCTTTCGATCAGCAACAGTTCAAGGTAACCTGGGCTTTGGGAATTTGGGTGAAAGTTGATGGTGGTTGGAGTGGAGGGTCATGTTTCTTTGATTTGTGGCAGAGTGGCCAGAGCAGCAGGCAGCTCTGATTTTCTTACATTCTGCTACTTTCTTTAGTGTGTGTTTTAAGCATGGAACTAAATTCCACAAATCTTTCTTCTAAAACAGTTCAATTTTGTTTTTCTCCTTTGCAAGTTAGAACTGTACTTGTGGATTATGTTTCTTTGTAGAAGGGAGAGGGGCATGCTCAGGGGAATAAGCAGCTTAATAGCATTAACCCCTTAATGTATCATACCCAAGAAAATCACATAGTGAAGGGCTTTCTACTTCTGCCTGGTGAGTGCTGAATTCAAGAAACATGCAGTGCTTAGAAATCAGTGCAGTGGAGGGGGTCACATAGTGTTTTGCAATGTCTTCTCATATTTTATCTTAATTCAGAAATATAAAGCACTCATCTTGACAAGATTTATTTGTGGTTTCCTTGGCATACATATTGAAGAGCTGAAAATGCAAACTTTTAGGTATAGATTACATGACAAAATTGAAACAATATAAAAGGAAAGAAATACTCAGAATACAGATGATATTCCCACTATGCCCCCACTTCATTCTCCTACTTTCTTACCAACTCACTTGATTACACCACTCCCCCCTAGAGTTGCTCATTATTTGGAAGATGGCATATATTTTCCCAAGCATGTTTTTCTACTTTACTGTTAAATTTAGAATTACTTATGTGTATTAAATTTATGTAAGCAGCACCTTACTGGGGATATTTTTATGCAGCTTCTTCTCCTACATGAATTGTAGGACCTGTCTCTGCAGGTCCATGAAGTTACTAGCTGTGTGGTTTGCATATGTGGCTCTGCCACTGATTGTCTGTGCTGCTTGGCATGTGCACTGTCTGGGTATATCACAGAGACTGGTTTGACCCTATATTTGGGTCCTCTTGAACTGGCTCTAAAGGTGCTCTGTCCCTAGGCTTAGGTTGTAAGTGTTAGTACCTTTATAGGCCCCAAATCTCCTTCAGTCACTCAGCTCCCTGAGTAGGGCAGAAACTACCAGAGACAACACATCCATCCAGTTATGTTCCTATGAAATTACCTATATAGAGCTGAGTGTAGTGGTGCATGCCTCTAATCCCAGCACTCAGAAGGCTGAGGCAAGAGATTGCCATAAGTTCAAGGCCAACGTGAACTATGCAGCAAGACCCTGTCTCAAAAAGAAAAGCTGTTTACATATAGCAAGGTGCAATTGGCAGACCCTGCCTAGAGAAATACCTAGACATGAAATAAAATTGTTAGGAAATTCTCTTCATTTTTTCTGAATACATTAATTCTGAGTTTTATCCTCTTGAGTTTTTTTAACCTTCAAAAATGTGCTAGATCATTTAATGTTCAGATTGGTAGTACTAAAATTTTATCTTAGTATGCTTATTATTGAAACATTTGTTATGATTCCTTACAGAATAAAAGCCGTCCTCATTCTCGGGGAGAGTATAATGTTTACAGTACCTTTCAAAGTCACGAACCAGAGTTTGACTATTTGAAAAGTCTAGAAATTGAAGAAAAAATTAATAAAATTAGGTGGTTGCCACAACAGAATGCTGCTCATTTTCTACTCTCTACAAATGGTAAGATTTTTTCCTTTAAGTGACTATTGGAGTTAGTACTATTTTAAACTTTCTGTATGGGTAGATTCCATTTTAAGTCATTGGTTGGGGGTAAATTATCAGCTAAAATGACAAGTGATAGGTTGAAAATTTAAAGTGTACCCAAAATATTCCAGTACTACATTCTTTACTTTGTGTGTTTAGATCTTTATATTGTGTGAAACAAGATATATATAATCAAAAGTTTAAACACCAGTGTAGAGTCACAAAGCTTTCTAATACCATACTCAAACAGTGATGCGTGGTATGATACTGTCTTTTAATATAAAGATTGCTGTTTTTCATTTCAGATAAGACTATTAAATTATGGAAGATAAGTGAACGAGATAAAAGAGCAGAAGGTTATAACTTGAAAGACGAAGATGGAAGACTTCGCGACCCATTTAGAATTACAGCACTACGGGTACACACTGCATCTTCTTTAAACTTCCCAGGCCTTTCCAGATATTAATGAAGAACAGTGTAACATCAGCTATTTAAGAAAGCTACTAAGGAAAATATCATAAACCCATTCCTTATAATAGTAATCATTTTGTGTATGCATGTTTTAAAGTGGGAGTCTTCAGGTTTTCACTGAAGCAAAAAGTCACATATTATCGTCAGAAAATACAGCTAAAGTTATTAAGGGAAAAGTTCACCTTTAATCCCACATCAGACCTCTTTCTAAGCAGCACCAGGAATTCAGAGCCCTTCCTTGGTGAAGTAGCTCAGGTTGCAGATTGGAAGATGAACTGTGGACTAGCAAGGTAGCATTAGTAACAGGGTAGTGACAGGGTAGTAGCGTTTCTTCTTCAGGTAGCCAGGGCGCATTCTGATGTTTCACAGTTCGTCTCTCTGTGAGCATTGTTATTTTAATTATTTAATTGCCTGTCTTTTGGGATTCCAGGGTATAATATGGAGTGATCATATTTCATCATTTTTAATAATGGGTTTTTTTTTTCCTTTTTGCATCTGTGTTGAATAAAATATAAAATCTCAGTGTCTTATAGTTGGTGCACCCATCACCAATTAGTGGTTTTTTAGATGAAATAGATAAAGAGTTTTTTTTTTTTTTTTTTTAAATTGACTCCTACCCAGATAAGTCTGGTGAATCACAGGACAGAGTCCAGCAGAAAGACCAACACCCACTTAGAGGCACTGTGGAGAAAGCCACTTGGTCCAAGAGGGTGTAGGTGGTATTTGGAAATGGTTGTCTGATTGCTCAGTGAGGTTTGAGTACCAGCACACTATTGTATTTTTAAGTAAAGACTCCTCATCTAGCATGCTTAAGGTCCATGGGAGAGGTTGCTGCCAGGAAGGATGCTGTACAGTCTTTTTCCCTGGCACACGCCAGTAGCAGTGTGGCAGGCCTGCCTGCATAGTAGATGATCTATTCTGATGCCATTCCTTGAGCCATATTGGGAGGGTGGTAACAGCTTATTGAGGACCATTTCTGTCCCAGCTTTTCTCTGACCTCGGACATTATTACCAAGTATGCTGTTGCTTAAAGACTGAGAAGGGCGGAGGTGTTTAATCAAATCTGTGGGTCCCAAGATGATTTTTATTTTAAAACACCAGTGATTTCTGATACACTGGTGCTGTATTTGCATCCATGAATCGGTATAAATCATGTTTAGTGATAGTCACACTAATTTTGAAGTTTCAACAGATAAACTTTCAGTACTAAACTGTCAGCCTCATGAAATGGAAAGCACCTTGGTGGTGAGGGCTGCACCGAGACCTGTTCAGTGCTGTCTTTCTCTTCCATGCCACCCACATGTTCATATATGGCTCTCTTTCAGGGGCCTCAACCTCCCATCAGACCCCTGTACAGCTCTATGGGTTGATGTGTTTAATTTGGAAAAGCTGAAGTGTTTCTGAATTGGCTACACTATGAGGGAACAGTGTTATGGGCTGGGTAACTGTATGTGGACTTAGGTCTGCCTTTGAGTTCCTGCCTCTCAAAATTCGAACTGAACTGTTCAGTTTGTCTGTCCTTATCTAGTTTAAATTTTTTTTTCTCTGAAGTTATTTTAGTAGTAGAGAAGGAAATATTATACTTGTCATATATTTTAATCAAAGACTTGTTGGAAAGTCATGGCAGGTGTGTATGTGTGTGTATTTTAAGGAGGAGTTTAATTCACCTTACAGGCAAGTGTGTGTTTCTGTCGTGTAATGGTAGAACTGATCCTTTGTGTTCTAGGGACTCTTAAGGGTGTGGTCTGCACTGATTGGGTTAAAATGAGACCTGTATGTACACTCTATGTATCTTCTCCAGGTAATTTTTACAGGATTTAGCCAGAGAAGACTGAGTGAAGATATTTTTTACTAGCTTTCAAGACTCTTTTCTGATGTCTGATTATAACTAAGACAAGCAATACTATCTTTGTCTTTATTTTGAACCTTTAGCTGCCCTTGCAGCCAGATGTTAGTGAGGTCCAGGCCTTTTCCACTGTTCCTCATGACCATTTGCTTGCTTTTGTTTGGCACACGTGTTCTCCATCTCTGCCCTTTCAGCACAGCAGTGTGTCCCCTTACCACATGCTCGTCACATAGATGGAAAGAGTGGGTGTCCTTTCATAAGCATACAGCCTTGTCCCTGAGTCCTGTGTCACTGGCACAGAGAGGCAGTACCAACGCTAGTGTAGTAAGATAGGAGATTTGTGCATCCAGCTGCAGGGAGAAAGGATGGAGACACAGTGGGGCTCTCCACTGCACCTTTCAGGATAGTGCTGTCCAGTCTCCTGGTGTGGCCCCCAGGAGACAGAGCAGAGTAAAGCCTCAGATCTCTGGAAGCAGCTAGGGTTAGTTTGTCTTCCTTTCTTCAACAGGAATGTGTTAGCCTCAGTATTGGAGATAGGGACAAAAAACTTTGAATAGATAACCATTCCATTCTGTACCTGTTATAGCTCTGCTAAATGGTTATTTGGGTATGTTGCCTGTACAGAAATTACGTTAGTCTCTTTTTGTTATCTGTTCTATGTGTTATGACCTTTGTTTTGAATACCTGTTTCCTTCCATTTTTAGGTTCCTATATTGAAGCCCATGGACCTTATGGTAGAAGCAAGTCCACGGCGAATTTTTGCAAATGCTCACACATATCATATAAATTCCATTTCAGTAAATAGTGATCATGAAACATATCTTTCTGCAGATGACCTGAGAATAAACCTATGGCATTTAGAAATCACAGATAGAAGCTTTAGTATCCTTCACCAGGTGGTTATCTCTACATTTTTCTTAGAATTATTATCCAATTATATCTCATGTGCTTTTGTAGTCTTACATCTCAGAGTCTAATCTTAAATATAGTTTGCTACTTAGTAGCAAGTAATGTAAGTACTCTGTGATGAAATTGACCTGAAGCTTATGGCCCACGTGATTCTGACTGTCTTAAGCACAGTATATCTGAAAAATCAGCATTGAACATTTTTTCTTCTAAATTTGCAAATAGGTAATAGACTGGAAAATATGGCTTAGATTACAATAGTATTTGATTACACATGAGAACTCATTTTATTGTGGCTTGGCCACTGTCCTGCCTTGGGCTCCTTTTTTGCTTGCACCTCTTACACTCCAGATGCTGCTCAGCTGTGCCATCTGGGACTCCTGTGGGAGCTCCAGGCACCCAGTCACAGTGGGCATCTCCCTCAGTGCCCATGATGCTCAGTCCTTGCCCAGGTCCTCCTGGGTGGTAACCAGGATTATGACTCCTGGGAGCTATTCTGATACTCCATTCTGTGAGCTCCAGGAGCCACAACTCTCCCAGATTCCAGCTCGCTCTCTCTCTCTCTCTCTCTTTCTCTCTCTCTCTCTCTCTCTCTCTCTCTCTCTCTCTCTCTCTCTCTTTTTAATTTGCAAATAGGATCTTGTTCTGCAGTTCAAGCTTACCTTGTCCTCACTGGAGTTCTGCCTCAGTCTTTCAAGTGCTGGGATTACAGCCATGCAACACCTTGCCCAGCTCTAATTTGTCTTCTTAACTTAAAACTCATCAGTTTCTCTCAGTACCCCCTCTCCTGCTAGAACCTGCAAACACCAGCCTGGCCCTGGGCAGCCATAAGGCTCTAGAGTCTCTCTAGGTTTCTCTCCTGTGCTCTGGTGTCTAGTGATTTGAGCTGCAGATTTAGAATGTTGGTTTTCTCCATCAGAGAGTGTATTTCCCTGTTGCAAATTTGCCTGGAGCTGAATTGTTCCTTTTCTCATTATTTCCATTGACTGATTTCTGTGTTTGACGATTAATATTGGCATTGTTCTGATGACTCAGACAGAGCAAGCTCTTCCCTAATGTCAGGTAATTAAAAGAACAGTATCTTTTGAAACTTTTTTTTTTTTTTGCAGTATTCTTGTGTTTGTAAATATTTGTGTATAAATGTGAGATTTTGCATAGGTAGCACTCAATTGCCTTTCTTGCATGTACTGTCTTGCTATTAGAGATTTCATGAGACCGTCACAGCAGCATGGTGAAAGCAGGGCTCATGTCTGGATTGACTCTCTGTCCGGCACATCCTGTGGTCTGATTGTTGCATCCCTCAATATGTTGCCAGTGATGTGCTCCCTTAGAATACAGTATGTTTGGTCAGCCTCCTTAATGTCTGGTCTCTTGAATACACTCCATGGTTTCTCTGTGTCTCACTCACTTGGTTGGGTGTAGCTAACCTAATCGGCCAAGCACTGCGCCTTAACACTGTACTCCAGACATTGTGGATATCAAGCCTGCTAACATGGAAGAGCTGACGGAAGTCATCACCGCTGCTGAATTTCACCCACACCAGTGCAATGTATTTGTCTACAGCAGCAGCAAAGGGACCATCCGGTTGTGTGACATGCGTTCCTCTGCCCTGTGTGACAGACACTCTAAGTGTAAGTACCTGGTGCTTACTAATGGGATCATTTAAGTTCTGTTTTCTAGACACTGACCCATCTGCACAAATAGAGGTGTCTCTTACCCTTCCCACACCCTGAAAAGTGTATGGGGCTTTGCCTATGCCTGCTATTGGCCATTGCTAATAGGGAGTGGGACTTAAGGTCTCATTCCCAGCAGGTGACCATCCTAAACTGACTGTTGTGAGATGAGAGTTTTTGGTGTGAGTAGTTTACTTCTGTCCCCGGTTCCAGTGCCTCATCTGACTACCTTCCAATCTGATAAAGATATTTATGGTCTCTATCTTTGTGCCTTGGGACCCAGACTGAGACTGCCACTGTGCATGCAACCTGTGTTCAAGTGAGCTTTGCTAGATTCACAGTTAGTTCTGTAGGGGGGGAGTCTACATTTAATTTGCTGGGCCTTGACATTCTCTCAAGGTGATGAAAGTTTAGGTTTGGTTCTGGTAGGCTTGATAAGCAAATTCAGTAGCAACTGGATACAAAGTCAGCACCCAAAAATCAATAGACTTGGGCAACCTACTCAGGACCCCTTGTCTCTCTTGGGCAGAAGCTTTTTTTTCCTCTCAGTAAATATATTCTCCTTAAAACTAAAAAAAAAAAAATCGGCCTTCCTGTATGTGAATAATAAAGTTACTGAGAGAGCAATCAGGAAAAACCACACCTTTCACCTTTGAGTAGCTTCTCAGAAAAATGAAATACCTAGAAATCAATGTAACAAAGGATGTAGAAGAGATTGAAAGCTACAGTACTCTGAAAAAAGATTGAAGATGATATTAGAAAATGGGGCGATACCTCATCCTCTTGGAAGAACCAATATAGTCAAAATAGCCATACTTCCAAAACTTTTACAGATTCAGTGCAGTCGCAATCAAAATTCCAATAGCGTATCTCACAGAATTAAAATTCTCCTAAAATTCACCTGGAACCAGAAAGAGAACTAGAATAGAATAGCAAACGCAATCCTGGGCAATAAAGACAAGACAGGAGGCATCATAATCCTTGACTTGAAATTATACTATAAAGGTACTGTGATAAAAACAGTGTGGTACTGGCCAAAGAAGAGACCCAAAGATCAATGGGACAGATTAAAAGATGCAGGAACAACTCCAGACACTTAAGTCACCTTATCTTTGACAAAAGTACCAAACACATTCACTGGAACAAAGATAGGCTTGTTAATAAATAGTGCTGGTAAAACTGGCTCTGCACATGCCAAAGATTAAAGTTGTGCCTTTATCTTTCATCATGTACTTAACTAAGTTCAGAATGGGTCAAAGATCTAAATATTAAAACAGAAACATTAAATCTGCTTGAAGATAGAAAAAGTAAAACTCTTGAAGACATTGATGTAGGCAGAGAATTTATGAATAAAACCCTGCTTGCACAGGAACTATGACAGAGAATCAACAGCTGGGATCTCATCTTACTGAAGAGCCTTTTGCACAGCAAGATAAGCCACCAACAGAGTGGAGACAACCCACAATGTGGGAGAAAATGTTTTCCAGCTGTTCCTCAAAGGATTACTATCAAGAACATACAAACAACTCAAAAAATCAGTTCTCCCAGATTTAAAGACCTAATCTAAAAATGAGCATCTGAGATGAATACACACCTCTCAAGTGGGGCATGGTGGTGCACTCCTGTAATCCCAGCACTCAGTAGGCTAAGGCAGGAGGATCACTGCAAGTTTGAGACTAGCCTGGGCTACAAAATGAACCCAAGGCCATCTTGAACTGCATAGCGTGATCTTGCCTCAAAAAGACAATAAAGAAAAAGAAAAAAAAAAAAACTTATCAGATGAAGAAATAAAAATAAATAATATTTGAAAAAATGTTCAACATCATTGGTCATTCAAGAGATACAAATTAAAACAACACTGAGATTCCACCTCACTTTGGAGAGAATGGCTGTTTTCAAGAAATCAACCAATAACAAATACTTAAGGAGCTCTGGGGAAAAAAGAACCTTTCTGCACTGTTGGTAAGTGTGTATACTGATGCAGTCACTGTGGAAATAAGTGGAGATTCCTCAGAAACTAGGATTGGAGGTCCCAGAAGAATTAAAAAAATATACCACAGCAGTATAGGTGCACCCATGTTTATAGCAGAACAATTTGTAATAGCCAGATCTTAGAACCCTAAATGCTCATCATCTGAGGAATGGATTTTTAAAATTATATTTATGCAATTGAGTACTACTTAGCCATAAAGAAGGATAAACTTGAGGCTTTTATAGGTAAATGGATGCAACTTGAGACCATAGTCATAAGTGAAATCAATCAGATACCCATGTGTAAATATCATTGTCTCACTAGTGTGAGACAATAGTGATTTCCAGTGTGAGAAACTGAAAGAAACAATATGTTTGTATATGTGTGTGTGTATAATATACAATGTATATACCATTATTACCTCCTAATTATTTGTGTTCTGATTCTGAATTTTTTTTGTTTAAAATAGATTTTTAAAAAAAGTTTAGGTTTTATTTATAGCCATAAATAATAGGTATGCCAGGCACATGCCTGTAGTCCCAGCCACTTGATACTAAGGTAGGAGGGTCTTTGACTGAGGAGTTCCAGGCCTAACTGAAAAGAGTAGGCTCAGCTGTGGGGAAAACCATAGCCCATGTTTTGTGTTACGCAGTGTGGCTTTAAGAATAGTTTTTATTTGTCAGCAAACTGATTTAGTTGGATAAATGTAAAACATGACAGTAGCCAGCTTCAAGTTAACTTCCTATGTAGAACCTATACATAGTATAGGTCCATTTAGGGCCCAATAGAACATGACTATTCAGCATGCAAAACAGGACTTTTATTGCTAACTGGCTTTGGCCAGTAGGTCCATTGGGCTGTTAGTGGTGAACTTCCACATTGCCAGGTTAATAAACTGCCGGTCAGTCCAGCAGACCTATAAGGTGGCCCTCTGAGAGGTGCTGTTTATCAGGTATCATCTTCCTGTGGTGGGCATGGGTGGGGCAGGACATCATGTGCTCAGGCCTGGTGCCACAGGGACACAGACATCCATGCAGTAATGGTTTTAGTCTTATGCCATAGTCCTCAACCTTGTACATACCAGGATGTACCAAGCCATCTGATTTTGGTCCCAAATCTGTGTGGGATTTGGGTGTCTGCGTTTTGAGTGTTCATCCCTTGACACCCCTGGTGGTTGAGAATCTGCAGTTCTTATCTAAAGAATCAGAAAAAGAAAATCAGAAAACTCAGAGAAGCCCAAATGGTTAGGAGATTTACTAGTGTCAAGGCTAAGTTCACCAGAGTCTCAGTGAGGGTCCAATATCTGCTTGAGCTTGAAGCTGATCTGTCCTCTGATTTAAAACAGAAGCTGAAAATACTTTATTTTGTTTTTCAGTTTTTGAAGAACCTGAAGATCCCAGTAGTAGATCCTTTTTCTCAGAAATCATTTCATCCATCTCTGATGTGAAATTCAGCCATAGTGGTCGATACATGATGACCAGGGACTACCTTTCGGTAAAGGTATGGGACCTCAACATGGAGAACAGGCCTGTGGAGACCCATCAGGTGCACGAGTACCTGCGGAGCAAGCTCTGTTCCCTGTATGAGAATGATTGCATCTTCGACAAGTTTGAGTGCTGCTGGAATGGGTCAGACAGGTGAGCCTGCGTTATGTCAGGAGTCATTCTGAATGACTGCTGATCCACCAGGGTTTCCATTGGGACTCACCTGTTACCGTAGCAAGGTGGGGACTTGCCACCTTCCAAAGGAGCAGAAGAGGGATTGTATACTCTAGGCCTTTTGTTTGCTTGCTGATAATACCAGTTAGAGAAAAAGGACATCTGAATAGATTTCTCATTTAGACAGAAACATAGAAAATGATGCATGGCAGCTGAATCCAACTGAAAAAGAATGAGTAAGGAAGCACCTTGCCTCACTGGCATGGCCCCAGTTCCTCTTTGCATGTGGAGAGATTGCAGGGAAGAGCACTGGCAGAGCTCACTGCCTGTGCTGTTCGGAGACAGTGGTTTTTAGTGTGGGGGTTACAGGGCTCATAACATGCTTTTTGCACACTCTTTTAAGTACTGTTTCTACTGCTACTGAGTGTTGTCTTTTTTTTTTTAATCCATTTTATTTCAAAGATAATAAGAAAAGAAAAAAACCACTAAAATAATTTTAAAACACATCAATCATACATTGTGCATTGTCATTCCGAAACCATTCACCCAGAGCACATCTGTGTTCAATTGTCTGAATGAAGTCTTTACTATTACATCAAAACAAAAACCACACATTTCACATAATGGAAGGAGAGTATCTTTCTGTATAATATTTCTTTAGAATTTAAGCGAATAGGAGTTCCGGTACTGGTCACAAGTAGCTGGGCAGTCAAAACCCTTGAGCATAGAAATGCTGGCTGTGACACAACAGTACCTCTTCAGATGCAAAGTTGAACTCATGAATAACCAAGAGGAATTTCACAAGGTCCAAAAATAAAGAGGGGCTTGAACTTTGAACAGAAAATGACTCCAAAGCCCTGCAGTGGCCTCAGGGACGCCAAGGGATGCCAGGAGACTATGTCAGTCTCTACAGCTGAGTGGTGTTTCTTGGACTCACATGATAGCAAATTGAGATTGGGACCCTCAAGGTTTTAAGAGGAAAACACCCATGTAGTCATAATTTATCTAAGACCTGGATTTGGGTAGCTAGAAATCACCTGAGATGTGTCCCCACGGCTTGTACTGGCTAGCCCCTCAGTGTGGAAAACCTTATACTCATGAATATAATGCCAACTGTGAGTGGTGGTATACACCTATAACCCAACACTCAGGAGGCTGAGGCAGGAGGATCACCACAAGTTCAAGGCCATCCTGAATTATAGAGCAAGACTCTGTCTCAACCAACCAAAAAAATATATATATATTTTTTAAGTACCATCTCCATACCTTGTTTAGATGAATCTGAAGTCACCATTCAGCTGTGGAGATTTGAAGCAGGACATAGGGCCCCTGTGGCCAGCCCAGGGCTTTTGGGTCTTGTTCAATTCTGGTTTCATCTCCCTTTGTTTTCTTTAGCCTCATACTGAATAATTAAATACTTCCATGTGGCCAGTGTCCTGGGTATCCTGGGACAGGATCTGTTTATAGAATCACTACCCTAGAATGTTTCAGAAAGGCCCAGGACGTTTTTCTCAGGTCACAGCAAGCAGCCTGAGCTTTGTGTTAGCATAAGTTTCCACAAGGCAGAAGCTGTGTAGACAGTAGGGTTGTGTAGCAGCTCCTGAAATATCCACTGCTTTTATGGTAGGTAGAAAGCAAACCTGCACTTTGACCTCTCACTTCAAGGGTAGGGACACTCAGGAATCACGACAGACCCAGTGAGAACAAATTGGCTCTTATACCTGGGATGGGTCATCCCAGCCAGCACCTTCAGGGCTTCTAGGAGTCCCTCAGATTAGAATTACCAAAGTGCCACGCAGGAAACAATTACAAGCACATGTAGAACAAAGCCAACCATGTGCAATAGAGGCAACAGAATTTCTCAGTATTCAATTGTTAAAATTATTACAGAATATAAAATTGCTTGAAATAGACTAAAAGAAGAAGCTAAAAATCTGAACAAGGAACCAGGTTATTAAAAAATGACCTAGGAGATTTGGAAATGAGTCAAACAAAACTTCTAGAAATAAAAAATACAGCAGATGAAAATTTATATGTGGGTTTAGCAGCAGACTTAGTTTAGTTAAAGAGATTTTGAATTGGTGAACCAAAAGGAAGATGGTAAGTTACCTAAAATATAGCCCAGAGAGGCTGGGGACTTGGCGCAGCCGTATAGGCACCTACCTAACAAGCACGAGATCATGAGTTCAATCCCTGGTACCAAAATATAGCCCAGAGAGACAGAAAGCATGAAAGGTTAAAAGCATGAAGGAAAGGATGAGATCTAGTACACATACAAGTAAAGCATCCAAAGTACAGTATGTGGAGAAGTAATGTTTAAAGTGATGATAGCCAGGAATTGTCTTCCATTGAAAGTTGGAATATACAGATTCAGGAAACACAAAATGAATATAAGGGCATCTAGATTCATAACATAATGAAAAGCAGCCTGAAAAAAGTAGTGTAAAGAGTAGAGGTTGAGGCTGGAAATAGATTTCTCCACAACCACAGCAGAAGCCTTTTATCCATTTTAGTTACTATCCCAAAATACTTATGGCTGGGTGACTTTATAAAGAAGACCTTGCAGTTTAGCTCACAGTTTGGGAGAGAAGTATAAGATTGGGTGGCCCCCTCATTGAACTGGTGAAGCCCTCATGGCTGATTTGTATCACATGTGTGAGAGAGAGGTCACATGGCAGGAGGAGACACAGGCGGTCCAGCCAGACTCACCTTAGTAACTCACCCCTCTTGTAGTAACTAATCTAGTCCCTTAAAATCTAACCCAGTTTCAGGTGACCTCAGTCTCAAGAAAAACATGAATCTGCTTCTGAAGGTGGATCCCTCATGACACCAAACACCTGTGAAAATCCTCTACCACTTCGGTCCTGTTGTGTTGGGGAGTTAAGCCTCAGTGTGACTTTCTGGGGACAGCCACACTCCAGCCATAGCAGAGCCAGAAGCTAGTGTGATAACAATATATTGTAAGCTTCTTACTGTCTCCAGTGTGCTGAAAAAAAACTACTGTCAGCTTATAAGTGTGCATCGAAATGATCATAAGAAAAGCATAGAAGGTAAAGGTATTTTCAGACAGGAAATGGTGAGATCCGAAGGAACTCATTTCACTATATAACATGCTTCCAGCCTGAGAGAGGCTCTAGAAAGAGGGTGTGTGAGTTAGAGGCAGGCCAGCCAGCAAAGATGCAAGCAAGTTAATGCCTGTACAGATCTGTGTTGACCTGTCCCGACTGGTCGTCTCTGCTGGGGACACCACTGTGCACTGTACACTGTACAGTGGATAAGCTCTGGGTGTTTAAGACTTCAAGAAATGTCAGGGGAGTATCTTTAAGAGATCTGGAGACTGTAGGACTTAAGGGCCTAAAAACCTAGGAAAGGAAAAAAGGTACTACAGAATTTATCTACATTAAGATTTAAACTTCTATAGATGGGGATATAGCTCAGTGGCACAGGCACCTGCCTGGCAACTCGTAGTACCAAAAAAAAAAAAAAGATTTAAACCCCATGCCTGTAAACCCAGCACTCTGAAAGGCTGAGGCAAGAGGATCAAGATTTGAGCCCAGCCCAAGTAACTTAGCAAGACTTTGTCTCAAAAATTTTTTAAAAAGACCTAGGGAATGTAGCTCAGGGCAAAGGCCCTGCGTTCACTCCCTAGTACTACCCCCATAAAGGAACACAGGACCCACTTTTATGAGTGACTGCTTTGGCAGTAGGGTAGAGAATCACCTTTTTAGAGGGTGCACCGTGAGATTTAACTGTCTCAGTGAAGGAATTGGGAACATGGATATTCACTATACTGCGCCTCATTCCTCTCAGTATATCTGAAACACTACACAGTGTTTCAGTTACAGATTCTCAACAACATCTGAAAGATTTCCTGGTATTATTTGCTTAATCTATTCACACTTGCAGATACTTTCTGACCTTCTTGGCTGCATGTTTCTGTGGAGGGGAAGGATGAAATGGAGCGGTTCTTCTGTGCTGTATGTGTCACTCTGCCTAGTCCATGCTGGGGTGTTGGCACTGCCTTATGGTACCATAGCTTATCCAGCAGAAAGACAAAGCTGCTTGCTCATGAGTGTGCTACACCTGTATGGCCCTCTTTTGTTCTTTGCGGAGACAAGATTGATGGACACAGGGCCAGGTGCTCATGCAGGTGGTTGTCAGGTGAGCCAGTGCAGTGCCCACCTCCATTGCAGGCATTGTTCCTTAATTTAAAAAGTATGTAGCCATACAGTTGTTTACAAGTTGCTCAGCTTTTTATTGTTATTGGACATGGAACTTCGTCCTGAAAAATATCTTACTAGTCTGTGTTCTAAATAATCATTGCAGTTGCTGTTGAGTTTTGATAACATAAACGTAAGCTTCAGATTAGTATATTATTTTCTTTCCTAAGCATTGTTTTGCCCTGGAGTATAAACATCAAGCATATTCTTTTTCAAACCTAAGTTTACTGCTGTTCCTGGAATGCGCTTAGCATAGTTCATATCTCCAGCCCCTCTGTTACTATGTACCCTTGTGTTTAATAATGCATTTGAAATAACTAAGGAGCTTGTGGGTTCAAGTGTCTCTGTGTGTGTGTAGTTTTAGATGAGATTAATCAGACACAAAAATATTTGCAGATACCCGGGAAAAGCTTTGAACCATCTAAATCAGAGTTACCTTGATGTAGTGGCTTGAAGATCTTGGCATCTAGACTGTAAAGACCACTTACCACGCAGTGAGAAAATGAGTGGGGGGCCATGGGTATGATATAGGAAAAACCACAAGTTTGGAGACCTACCAGGGCTGTGACAGAAGTCATTGGTCTTACGTTGTCAAGGAAGTCAATAGACATCACAGAACCACAGATCTTTCTTATTAAGAACCAAACTTATTCTATTCTGAAACCATAGGTAAGATTATGGCAGCATTTGCTATTGTTGAGCCATTTTCATAGTAAAAGATTGTAAAAATTTTTATCATTGTAAACCAGATACGGGAGTACAGCTCAATTCCAAGACACAGGGGTCAATCCCCAGAACCACAGGAAGGGGGGTGGGCTGGGGCAGGGGTGCATACCAGTTTAATAAAACTGTCATGAGCATATGCATTTTAATGGAATTTTTCAGCTGCAGAGTTGATCCTGAAGAAATAAAAACATGGACAGTGTTATATCAAGCTTATTGGGAAATGGAGTTCTAAATTGCTCCCACACTTATCCCCTATGTAAGACATATGTGAGAGAAACTCGGTACCAGGGATTGAGCTCATGACCGCACACTTGCAAGGCAGGCGCTTATGCCACTGAGCTAAATCCCCAGCCCCTGTAAAGCATTTTTTGATCAACCACTGTATAAGTAACACTGACAGATGTGATTAATATGTACATGATTGTATATAAAACTGAGTAGGAAATCATTGCTGTGGTTTTTTTCTGAGCATTATTACCTCATTTTTGTTTCTGAAATTACTTGGTGTTGTAGAGGGCAGGGTCTATGCTGTCAGTGGGAAGAAGTGGGCCAGTGGCTTCCTGCCTGTGGTGCTGGGCACTGAGTACAGTGACACTCTCCTCTTGTTTTGAACAGTGCTATTATGACGGGGTCCTACAACAACTTCTTCAGAATGTTCGATAGAAACACTCGGCGGGATGTTACACTGGAAGCTTCGAGAGAGAACAGCAAACCCCGAGCCAGCTTAAAACCCCGGAAAGTATGTACAGGTGGTAAAAGGAAGAAAGATGAGATCAGCGTGGACAGTCTGGACTTCAATAAGAAGATCCTGCACACAGCCTGGCACCCCATGGAGAACATTATTGCTGTGGCTGCCACCAATAACTTGTATATATTCCAGGACAAAATCAACTAAAGAAGCTAACTGGAGGACCAAGTCTTGTCTTGCATAGTTCAGCCGGTTGTTTTTCTGTCAAAGAAAAGGCGTTGTCCTCTCCATTAAGAACAGAGATGCACTTCCTCCTTCCCTTCATAACTGAGGAAAGAAGCGAGCTCGGCAGGAATCCTGGCGTAGCTTTGCATTTAGCCCAGGGAGAGATGCTTGCTGCTGCTCAAGGGGAAAACCCACTTGAAGCAGGATTGGTGGACACTGCTCAATAAAGGCCATTACTCAAAATAAATGTATTTATTTAAGTCTGAGCCTTCCTTTCCAGTTTATAGACCAAAAAACTAACCTCCAAGAGAAAAAGTGTTGTCAAATATGTTTCTGTCTCCACTTCTGTCCTCTTTCTCTGCCATCTTAGGGCCTAACCTGTACATGGTGTAGCCATTGTCCATTCCTTACTGGCCCTTCTTACGAGCCAGGTGGGCATGCCTACCCCTTGGTATGTGGCTTCTGCCTGAGCAGGAGCAGGCAGGTTTACTCGCCAACTGCATCGACCATCACACCTTCTGGTGTAACCACTCAATAAACAGCACACTGCAAAGTGTTCTTAAATCCAAACATAAGTACCGTCTTTTTATTTGTCTCAATTGCATATCGTGAAATTATGCAAAATTCAAAAACAGAAACTTTTGTGCTTTGGCAGAAGGGTGGGCTATGTGTAGTACTTCAGATTCAACGTGTAACTGTCCCCAAGCTGCCGTAACTTTGTTTTGTTGCTGCTGAAATAGTCCAGGTAAGGTCTGGGGAAGGTCATAACTGAGTCCACCTGAGAAGAAAACTACACCATTACAAGGGTAATAAAATGCTGCTATAAAATTAACACCTGGCTTAAAGTAGGCCTCAAATTCACAGCTATTGAAAACATACATGCTTTCTTTTTAAATCTTTTTAAAAAGTACTTTGGGAGGGAAATATACTTAAATATTGCTACAGCTATTTGCATGCTAAATTTCATACTGCATTTCAAGCCAACAATTAAATAATTTATGTGATGCCTCCAGTACCTTGGTTTATTTCAGAAGACTTCCCAACACAGAACATAGGTAACCAGCACTAAGGAACTGGAGCTGCCTTCCAGGGGGTTTAATCCATGAGCTCAGTGTCCTCAAGGGGGATGTCGAGCCAGAGCTCATTCACCGTTGCTAAAATCTAGGTATATTTTGATTATTAATGATACACAAGGACAACATCCTCACCCTAGCACACTAGCAGAATGTCACTTTAGTTCACATTAGGAAATTGACAACCTAAAGTATCTTTATTTAAAAGTAATTACCATACTGTAACTTGGTTGTGACACAGTTCATGTCTGAGGTGTGGAACAGAATTCTTGAAGCATTCAATCCTGGTCCATAAAAACAGTTCTAGTAAAATGAGATTGTATATATTTGTTCCAACTATTTTGACCAAAAGTTTAATAAATTTTAAATGTTTAACTGGATTTGCACTGTGTATTTGGACACCTTTTTTGATCTTTAGATTTTTTTCACTGAAAAAAAGCCTGCCTGTGACACTGGAGAGGACAGAAGAGAGGTTAGTGTGCAGTCCCACCAGTATGCTCAGGTGGCTGCTGGGGGCTCACGTGGTCTGGGTGTGCTCATCTCTGGGTCCCATGCAGTATTGTGTTGACATTTTCAGAGCTGTTCTTCATGTCAGTTACATATGTTGGCAAAAAGGATTGCTTTCTGGCAATTACTTGGTTAAAGCTTCTACCTTTTCCTTTTATATATTTGACTAAGGTAAAATCCTATGTGTCAGACTAACATTGTCTTGTTTATATTTAAGCTTAAACTGCACCTGTCATTTTTTTTCCAAAACTTTAAAGCCTGTTACTGAACGTTAACTACATGAATTGTCTTGTTTAGAACTGTTGCTCCTGAAATGTGTGATTTCATGTTCTCTGGGCTGATGACCTGGGTTAGATGAACAAGCTTTATTCACACAAGCATTTTATAGTTTTCCAGTCCTACTCCCAGCCCATGCTAGGTCTTACTACATTCTGATCCGCTTTAACCATTGTGGTTATGAGTGACTGTCCCACAGGTAGTTTGTACCACCCAGTGGAACTGTGCTCTGCCATCTGGTACCAGCTATTCATGTTCCACCGGTGGTTCATACCAACCCAGTAGCAAGACACGATTGACAGCCCCATTGTGAATGTTAGACACAGGGCCTTGCACAGGCGAGGTAAGCATTCTACCACTGAGCTACACGCAACATTGGGCTGTGCGTGGATTTTTTTTTTTTTTTAAGCTTCTATAAACTGGTAGCTCCACTACAAGGCAAGACTGGAAGTCTGGTCATTGGTGTTGATGAGCTAAACAGAACAGCAGATGCCAAGTAGAGACTCTTACATGTAGAGCTAAGTGACAGCTTTCACGTCACTGCCATCCCCAGAGCTGAGTGTCTACCAGGGGAGTCGATTCCAGCATGGCTTTTGCTGTGTTGCTTAAGAGGGAGTCTTGCTGTTGTTGTGGGGTCTTTTTACTTGGTTGGTTGGTTTTGTTTTGTTTTTGGGAGAAGATTTTGGTATGTAGTTTAGACTGGTCTTGAGTTCACTTTGTAGTCTAGACTGGCCTCAAACTGGTGGCAACCCTTCTGCCTCAGCCTCCTAGCTGCTGGGATTACAGGCATGACCACTATGCCTAGCTAGGAGAAACTTAAAGGGAATGAGACAGATAGCACGATTGGCACTTGTTTCTTTTAAACATGTCTCAGTGGACCATGAGCTTTGGCATCAGCAGGAGAGAAGAGAATGAGGTCAGGGCCAGTGATAGTCCAGATTGTATAAGACCCTGGTAGCTGCCTCTTCACAGACAATGCAAGTGAAGGCAGAGTAAGAGCCTGTTGTGTGCGCAGTGTTAACTCTGTGCTCAGCCAAGGTCTGAGGCAAGGCTTTGCCCTGACACTGGACTATAGGTTTCCTTTATGACCTGTCCTAGAAGAGCCATGCCCAGAAAGATGCATCACAGAAAGTGCTTTAAGCTGGTGTGACAACTAAGCAGCATTGTAGACTGTGGCATTGTAGACTGAGGAAGCCCCGCAGAATGGCCCTTCCACACACACCAGCCTTGAGTGTCTCCAACCACAGGGCCTCACTTGGGCCTGCCTGGCCAGGCCCCCAAACCTTTTTTGGGCTCTACCTTCACCACACTAGGGCACACTTGTGCTTCAGTTGGGCAGCCTGCTGAGAACAAATGAGGCACACCACAGCAGACTTCCCCATGCAAACTGGATGGGGTGGTGACCACATCTGGAAAAGGGCAGCACCTCCTACCTCCACAGGGTGACCACAGGTCAGGTGTAGAGGTGTTTGCCTGGTGTGGGTGATGGCCCCTGCAGGTGCTCACTGCACAGAGGCCCCAAGCTGGCCTTGGTTATAGTGAACACATCATACCCCACATTTGGTTACCAGTACTGGGCTCAGATTCAAGCCAAGTGCATCAGCCCCACAGTGCACTTTCCTGTGGAATGCTAAAGGTGCTTGCTTGGGGCTGTAGATGGGATGTAGAGAACTCTTGCAGGCCAGAGAGCTTGGCCTTGAACTTTTAAGAACTATGCACCCATGAAATGAGAGAAAAGTAGCTGGACGGTGTACAGACTGTCATTCAAGGCCTGTGTCTTGGTTTTGTGTATCTCTGGCCACTTAGGCCTTCACCATTTGTGATCCCAGTGTGACAGTACTGTCACTGGGCAGTATACACAGGATAGGAACTTGCACTTGGATGGCCTTTTTGGGTTTTTAAAGTTAACTAAAGGGCCAGGGATTTAGCTCAGCAGCATAAGTGCCTGTCCTGCAAGCACAAGGTCGTGAGTTCAGTCCCTAGTACCTAAATAAAGACTGGCAGACTTGCCCAATCTGTTCCCACTTTATAATTTCATGGACTGCACTTCTAATCCCCCACACACATGTGCACCCAGAGCATAGATAGGAGGATCTTTAGAAGAGACAGAAGTGGCAGGGAAATGGCCACAAGTCTGGTTCCATTATCCAAGGAGAGAGTGGGTGTCTGCTAAAGTTATCCTCACATTGATTTTGTGTAAATCCCTTCAATTAGAACTTACTTCTTTATGACAATCCTGGAGACTGAACCCAGGGTTTCATGCAAACACTTGACCTGTGAGCTACTCCAATCAATTTAATTGTTTTATATTTAGGAACAGGGGGGCTAGGGATTTAGCTCAGCAGCATAAGCGCCTGCCTTGCAAGCAGGCAGTCGTGGGTTCGATCCCTGGTACCGATAAAAAGGAAAAAGACCAAAAAAAAAAAAATTATATTTAGGAACAAGATCTAAGTTGCCTGGACTACTGCCAAACTTGGGATCCTCCTGCCTCAGCCTCCTGAGTAGCAGGATCATAGTCATATATCACTGTGGTAGCCAACTAGGAAGATTTAATGTTGGATGTATATTTATATATGAGACCAGTACCTTATATGGAAACTGGTCCCTTAAAATGCTGCAAAAATCTAGCTGTCAAATGGCACATCCTAAGTCACAGAAAGTGACTCGTAACAGAGCCCTTAGGAACACAGAATGATGAAGTGAGACTTCCTGGGAACTTAGTATTACAGTGGAGAAGGTAAGCCCTTTGGACACAAGTGCATTCTAGAAAAGCTTTTAACTTTTCAACTCCATGCTGTTTCAAATAGTGTAAATAAAATCTGTGATTTGTTTCACACATCTATAAATTTTCATTTTCTATTTGGTGGTTTGAAAATACAATAAAAACAGGTTATTGCTTATTTCAAATCTCGCAGTCTTAGGCTTCATAGCCCTCCTTGAGATACGTCACTGATAACTCTAACAGAGGACCCTACTTCTCTTGCACATTGCAGGGGCCCATGGTGCAGCCAGGAGAGACTGGTGACTGCATCACTGATGTCATGGTGAGAGCAGTGTGGCTCTGGCTGAGGGCACAGGGCAGGTGGCTGGGCTCAGGCCCAGGAAGCTGCCAGCCAGGGTCAGTCACAGGTATAGCCATGGCAGGAGCATAGCCAAGGCCAAGAGGTGGCAGTGTCTCTGCAGACCAAGGGTTCAGCAGGATGCCATTACTTGGAGTGGCCAATTATGTGGCATCAATGTCATCCTCAAACTGGCACATATTTTTAATCACAGTTTTTGTGGGGGGTTTTGGTACCGGAAATCAAACTTATGACCTCACACTTTCCAGGCAGACACTGTGCTGCTGAGCTACATCCCTAGTCCCAGTCACAGCTTTTAAGAAGACTCAGGGACTTTACCCAATTCACCTGCTAGCTTTGGAGATAACTGTTAGAAATTATCTTGGAAAAATTTGGCACACCTTTTAAAATGCATCTTATTTGACACAGATGAGAAACAATCTATTTACTCCAAGAACTTCTTTCTCTGCACAAACTTAACTGCTTCTGGCAGCGTACACAAAGCTTGCACCGCAGGTGCTGTGCAGACCATCAGCTAGCACAGGGGACACAGCTCCTGCCCCAGTGCATCTGGCAACCTGCCCTTCCAACAGAGCCAGGGGTACTGATGCTGCTAGGCCAGGGACGACTCTGAGGGAGAGGCACCACCTAATTTTACTTAACTTTTTATTTTGGAATAATTTTAAACAGGTGTCAAAGCTCATACAGGGTTCCCCTATAACCTTCATCCAACATCCCCAATGTTAACATCTTGCATAACCTGGAAAACCGGGACATTAACAGTGATACAGTACTGTCAACTAATCTCCTGCCAGCTTTGGATTTTCCTGGCTGTCTTCTATGTCTTTTTTCCTATCCAGGATCTGGTGTGTACTAGTTATTGCCGTCTTCTAGTCTCATCATCTTTCAAACCTTAACCTTTGTGAAGATTATTTTGTACAATCACTAATTTAGATTTGCCTGATGTCTTACTTTCATCACTGGAACAAAATACTTGATATTTGCAGCTTAAGGATTATTTTGGCTCAGATTTTAGCCCTTAAATGGTCAGCACAGGGTCTGAGCAAGAGCTGCTCACATTATGTAACCCAGGGAGGAGCCAGGAGGGGAGGTGATCCCAGCCTCAGTGATCTGCCTCTGCTAACTGGACCCCTCCCCAGCAGCTAGTCAGCTATACAGCCCCAGGAATGCAGTCACCTTTCGGAAGCCCCACCTGTGAATGCAAGGCTGGGGGAGGCGCGCACCTAGATAGAAACATAGCACCCAACATAACCTCGTGGTTAAACCACAAAAATTATACAGAAGAGATTTTGTCACCTTCTCAGTGCTTCAGTGCAACATTACTACTGGCCATCTTCTAATTGGCCTCTTGGAGACAAATCGCCCTTTTCCATCATGCTTTCACACTAATTGTTTCCACTGATGAGTCAAAACTTTTTGTGGTTTACCTGATACAGATTCTCTATTTTCACTATTTAAAATAAAAATAAAATTTTTTAAAGATATTTAAAAAAAGATTTTCTATCATTCCTCCCTCCATATTTGTTAAATTGTTAGGAAGATACTCCCAACTTGGATTATTTACTGTGGGGGATTAGCTAATGGCCAACTTAAGTGGGGATGCCCGCTGCACTGTTCTGTGACTGAAGGCCCACTTGAGGCTTATCGCCAAGGCACAGAAGAATGCAAGGAGAAAGGCTGCATGCTGGCTGCTCTGGTTTTCCTTCAGAGGAGCTCGGGTCCTTGCTGTGGCCAGGGATGGCTGCTGTTCTCCTCCAGGGAGGTGTGGTCTTCACCGAGCCCCTCTTCCTGGCTTTAGTGCAGATCCCTCAGCCTGCTGGCAGGCCCTGCACCTTACCAGCACAGATCCGGAAGCTTCCACCACTGCTCATTGGGCCTTCCCAATGCAGACCTTAGCTATATTTTTTATTTTTTTTTAAACGGGGTCTCACTATGTAGTCCAGGCTGGTCTTAAACTCACTATGTCTCCTAAGAATCCACCACACTGGGACTTGGGGGACCTACCAAGAAAGCAACCGCCCAGCCTTCCTGGTAAGCAGCACAGGACTACCAGTGCGTGGGCTGAGACCACCACCGCCATGATAACAACTGGATAGTTCCAAGGACAGCCCGAGTTGATAGCAACTAAAGTACAGAAAGCCACAAAGGCTTGTATTGTTGGGTTGATTATGCAGGCCTGGGGCCAGCAGTCTGAGCATCTCTTGTGAGGATGACAGTATGCAATACAGCAAATATAGGGTATTTCCTTCTGTCCTGTCTTTGAAGGCCAATATTGTTTTTACTGTTTTGCTTTGTTCTGATTGTTTTTGCTTTATTCAATATTCTGTTTTGACTGGTTTGTGTTTTGTTTTTGGTTTGATTTTGCTATACCTGGTGGAATGGACAACTACTGTGAAGATAACAAGATATACTATGGTAGTTATTGTTGTTTTCCTGGTGTCCTGCTCTTAAGTTCGGTACCAATTTTGTTGCATTCTTTTTTTTTTTTTTTTTTTTTTTTGGTCTTTTTTCATTTTTATCGGTACCAGGGATCGAACTCACAACCCCCTGCTTGCAAGGCAGGTGCTTATGCCGCTGAGCTAAACCCCCAGCCCCTGCTGCATTGTCTTGATTGGCTTTGTTCTGTCTTGCTTTGTTGTATTTTACTATCTTTGAAATTAAAAAAAAAGAAACTATGTAGCTTAGGCTGGCTTCAGACTCCTGGCAAGTTTCCTGCCTCGGCCTTCTGAGTACTAGGGAGTACAGGCATGTGACACCATGCCCAGCCCAGCAGATCTTGATATGAGCTCATATGAGACTTTGCCCTGAGCTGTAGACCTTTACCTGGGCTGTGTAGGACACTGCCATGGGATCCAGGGCGGTGACTGGATTTTCAGGTCTCTAGCACATGAACAAATGTCTTGCTGTCTTCTGCATTTGGCTTTTTGGGTAAGTACTATAAAATCATCCTGTAAATTATGTATGCTTAAAAATAACTACAAACCTATCAAGAAAGATCAGTTTGGGTATAGACTAAGTAAGTCAGTATTAGCTCAAAATAAACACTACTAATGCTAAATAAGTGTTCTGTAGTAAATCTGTTCCCTGCTCAAGTTTAGTATAAACTAGCTTTACCCAGTCCAAACACTTTCCAGTCATCCAGGTGAGTAACTCCATTGAGTGTGGTTTTATTATTGGTAACTGTTAGCTTCCCAGTATGCTAAGTGAATCACTCAAGTACTTATTTTAACTGGGCAGTATGTGAGGCACTGCTACAGTTCTGAGAGTTGGTTGTGCAAAAACTACACCCACTCCTGCTCCCTTCCTGTTTGCTTTCCTATCTGTATTCATTTATGTTTGTACCCAATAAATCTCATTTTTGGTTTATCTATCTATCCCATTTTTTTACCCAAATTACTGTATTTTCCTTAGCTCTTGTCACATAAAAAAATGAACGCTATGTGTCTGTTTCTTTGATATAGGCTCTTGCTATATACATATACAGTTCAGGCTGGCCTTGAACTAGCAGCAATCCTGCCTCAGCCTCCCCAGTACTGGGATTACAGGCATGCACTGCCATGCCCAGATAACTTTCAGTTTTAAACCCCCAATTTTTTTTTTATCATCTTAATGAAGGACCATTGTTTTGTCCATCAGTCTGTAGTTTTAGCAGAGATGACCAAGTTCTGCTTATTTTTACTCCAGATAGTTTCATCTAGGGCAGCCAGAAGAGCTATGAAGGATAGATAACCCAGGAGGGTGGCCCGAAGGCTCACTGGCTGGCTGTTAGGCCATTCCAGGTAGCCTCTCCACTGGGCAGGCTAGCTTCCTTCCTTCATGGAGCGTTGGACCCAGGGCAAGTTCTTCCAAGTTCAGAAGTAACAGCTGCCAGCTTCTTAAGGCTACATGTGCCTGGAACTAGCCATGTATTTCTCCCTTATTCTATTGGCCAGACAGTTCAGAGCCCAAGGGGAGGGCAGACCTCTCTCTTTTTAGACTGTTTAAAAACCTGCCATGGGTTTCAAGCATCTGTCAGAAGACTTCTTTTGGTAATGATACATATAGTTCTGCCTCTTGCTTTTTTGACTTAATATCCTGGAAATCATTACCAGTTCACCGACTTGTCCCCTTTGAACAGTATTTAGCTGTATACTACCCTGGTGTGACTGAACCATGGCTTACTCTCTCCTAGACAGGCACTTCAAATACCTTAACTGTGCTTTTTAATATGCACGCATCACTTAAGGTTTATCTTCAAGGTACATTCCTAAAAGTGGTTTGTAAATCAAAAGTAAACTGTCCAGTGTCTTTGCAACTGGATCTTTTGGTTGCTCAGGCTGGTCTCCAGTTCCTGACCTCAAGTGACCCTCCAGGGACTCACAGCATGCACCACACCACCAGCACCACTGTTAGTGAAGGCACTGCCTAGTTCCTCTCCCAAGCAACCTGTGCTCATCCTAGCAGCATATCACATTCCATTGTCCGAGCTAACACCAGGGGCTGATGCATGTTTGCACCAGGAAACTTGCTTTTCTAAGTAGTACTGAAAGGCTCATTTTCTTGTCAGAATTATATGATTCTTAAAGATTTTAGCCAGATGTGGTGGCATATGCCTATAATCCCAGCACTCTAGAAGCTAAGGCAGGAAGACTGGGATTGCCCCAGGTTTGCGGTTAGCCTGCATGATGAACCTGTCTCAAAAAAAAAAAAAAAAAAAAAAAAAAAAAAATGGTTTGTAGGTTTGCTACTCAATAAAACAATAAAACAATGGTGTGTACAATTTTCTGATTAACAGTAGAAAAAAGTTATTTCCTAAAGCTATTCACAAATGCCATGTCCGCACTGCCATCATTTTACCTGAAACTGAAAGCTTAAGGAAGCTGACCTGCAACTGAGGATCCTATATATGCAGAAGAAAAATTCCAGCCAGACACTGTGGTTTGGGCCTTTAGTCTCAGCACTCAGAAGGCTGAGGCCAGAACAACTGAGTCAGAAGAGGGGAGATCAGCCTGGGACAATATAAAAAAAATCTGTTTGCAGGGGCCGAGGATTTAACTCAGTGGCATAATTGCCTGCCTGGCAAGTGTGAGGTCATGAGTTTGATCCCTGTTACCAAAAATATAAAAAATTAAAAAATTGAAAACAAGAAAAAAAAATCCGTGCTAACCATGTACACTTTTTTGTCATCCTTTAAACTATATAACTACATGTACAGCATGCATATCGTATTAGGCATTGCAAGTAGTTTAAGTATATGGAAGGATATACACAGGTTATATGCGAATACCATGCCATTTTAGGACACTTGATTACAGATTTTTGTAACCTTGCATTGTGTGTAAAAATGTGTGTTTGTAAACTTTTTTTGTTTTGTCTTGAGACAGTTTCACTATGGAGCACAAGCTGGCTTCAAACTCACAGCAATCATCCTGGCCTCAGCCTCCCCAAGTGTTGGGATTACAGGCATGAGCCGCCATGCCCAGCCTCACCATATTTCATTTAAATAAGTTGCCTACTGATAAAAAAAGATCTGGCAAATTCCAAAGTCTTATTTCATTTATGTAAAGCATTTTTAATGACAGAGTTTGGTACTTCAGGCAGATTTCAGAGTTCAGTTAATGCCATCAGGAAGAGACAAGTTGACCAGCTGAGATTTTTACCAAGCATCCCAAGTGTATGAGTGGTCAGACAGTGAGGAGGGGCTTCTGGGAGCAATCTTTAAGAGTGCCAATTAAATGATACTTAAAAGTCTCTGTTGTCATGCCACCCATGACAAGTAGAAAGGAAACTGACTTTCCAGTGTGATTCCATGTGTCCTGACCGACAAGTTATAGAGGGAATGCCACCGTCATCTGGTTACCTTTCTCCAAAGGAAAGGCTATCTAAATGAGTTTCCAAAGTCATAATTTAAATATAAACAAAAACTGTTAAAAGTTAAAATGTTACATTTATTTTAACACACCTGAATTAAGGGTGGAAAGATGAAACAATACAGTATTAATATACACAGCGTATCAAAGATGCAGCCTTTCTAAAAATCATGCTATAGAAAAGATAAAAGAACGATACAATGGGGAACAGGCCTGGTTTAATCAAAAAACTTTCTTGACTGATTTTTAACCCTATATAATTACAATAATCTCCAAAATATTTGGCAATTATTTTTTTCCTACTTTCAGTCTTCTAAAGTAGACACAGATTTGCTTACAATAAAGCTAATTTTAAGAGCACACAAAAGTTGAGAACAACAGTAAGATGCAATCCAGAGAAATGAAGGGTAAAAGACACTAAATAGATGCCTTTATCAAAAAAAAACTGACCACCCACGGCCAGCAATAGCTTATTACTTAAGATAATTTTTATAGTACAGTGGTCTTTATAGACAATCTGCATCCATCTAAATTAAACATTCTACAATAGAATAATTATAAGGCCACAATATTTCTTTTGGGCAATCCCTTTATTGTAGTTTTTTGGAGGAGTTTTTGAGATAGGGTATCACTAGGTGGCTCAGGCTGACCTCAAACCCATGGTAATCCTGCCTCAGTGTCCCAAGTGCTGGGATTATACACATGCGCCACTATGCGTGGCAATGTAGTGATTTTAATATCAATGTTATTCATTCTTTGAAAAAAAATTTTAACTGAATATTTTTAAATACTACATACATCACAACTAGTATATTAAAGTTATACTATTTATATCTAATATCAAGGAAAATTTACTACTAAATTGTTATAGTAGATATTAGTCTGCCATGCTTATGAATTGATCCCATACGTGTAATTACAGATCAGCATGATTTTAGTGTCTATTCTTTTCAGTTTACTAATCAGGAACACAGCATGTACAGAATAAACAAGTGGTGCAGCCACCCAATGACAGCTCTTCAAATTAGCTGTCATAAGCTCAGACACAAATCCCCACCGTGTCAGTCAAGCTGGATCCAATTCTTCATCAAAAGGTGCTGGTGGAGGTTGTCAGGCGCCTTCCAATGTAGATCCTGAATAGAAGAGTAATAAGCAGTTACAAGTCTCACAATTCTAAAGGGGCTTTGCAGCTCTCTGTGGTAACAACTTATGGACAGTGATGAGCTTTCTACATCTATTCCAAAATGCGGTGTCTCTATAACCTTATCTATAACCTTTTATCATTATGTATTTTATGTTAGTCTAACAAACATGCAACTGGTGTCTAATAGTGAGTGTAACGCGCTCAATACAAATACAAAGCAGGATACCAGCTAGGGACACAGCTCAATAGTAAAGCGCCTGCCTCACATATATGAAGCCCTCAATTCAACCTCCAGCACAGTAACAACAAAAAAGAACCACATGGAATACTAGTCACTCAGAAATGCTATTACCACACAGAACAACTTTCGTACCTACCCCCATGCCATGGGGATATGTGTGTGTGTGGTACCTGTTACTAAGGACTGAATATAAGGCTTTCAAAGTAGCTATCTACCCATCCTTATTTTTAGACAAGTCCTGCTAAGTCACATGTTGGCCAGGCTGGGCTCAAAGTTGCCATCTTCCTTCCTCAAAGAGTGCTGGGATCACAAGCCTGTGCCAGGATGCCTAGCAGCCATTTTATTTTAAAGGGATCCCACACAGTTCTGGAGAAAGCGTCTGCACAGCAGGTCAGTATTATCTGTTCACCAACAACAACCTCAAAGGCCAGCTGCAAAGTGAAGTCCTTGCCCATAGGCAGCCTGAATTTTGTCCTAGTGAGAAAAGTGGCTGTCGGAGTAAATATTTGAAAAGTATGTACTGCTGGAGAACTGTGGAAGGAAGAGTCCCCTGGAAAAGGAACAGGAGACAAAAGCCTGGGTGGCCAGGCTTATGGGGGAATGACAAGAAATACAGCTGGAGAAAGAAGGAAGAAAGAAAAAAGAGGAGAAAAGACATCAGGGTACACACTAACAGTTTTCTGGGTCCAACTAAAGAGTGTGGCGTTTTTTCAGAGACAGGGTCCCGCTTTTTAGCTCCAACTGGCCTCGAACTCACACAATCCTCCTGTCTCAGCCTTGCATGCTAGTATTACAAATGTGCACCACCATGCCACACAGAACAACTTACAGATTGGAGGTGACTTTAACATGGGAAATGCTGAGGAGTTTTAGATGGGGACATCACCACTGGGATCCGAAAGGCTGAGAAGAACCAAGGACTGGGACACACTGGCTGCAAAAATCCATCCTGAAAGGTTGACCTAACCCAGCTATTTAAAATGCATATTCCAAGACGCTGCCCAAAGATTCTATTTACTAGTTCTGGGAAAAGCTCCAAAAACCAGTGTCTATCCAATTCCTTGTGTGAAAATGATGTACTCTGTATGACTCCAAAACACTAGCCACAATCAAGGCTATGAAGTTTAGCTGTCAGTGAGAAAAAAATCAGGGAAAAACCATGCACATGGAACAAACGAGGGGGAAGAGGAAGGTTCCAGCTCAAGAAAATGATGTATTTCACCAGGTGTGGTGGTGCAGGCTTATAACCCACACCTGGGAGGCTCTGGCAGGCGGACAATCATGAGTTCAAGGCCAGCCTGGGTTACATAAGTGAGTTCAAGGCCAGCTTGAACTACATAGTGAGACCCTGTCTCAAAAAAGGGGGGAGGAGCAAATATAACCCTGCCAGACTCACAAGTCCTATGAGTCCAAGATTTGAATAGGTCTCATTCCATCTATTCTTTCTTTTGTCTGAGACAGGATCTTGCTATGCAGTTTAGGCTGGCCTTGAGCTCACTGCCCGTAGCCCAGGCTTTGATCCTCTTGCCTCAGGCTCCCAAATGCTGGGATTACAGGTGAGCACTCCCACACCCGGCTTCACCTATTCTTTAAGTGAAATAAATCAGATGCACATGAGTAAATACCACATTGTTTCCCTGGGGTAAGAAAATGAAAGTATAAATAAGGACCAAAATATGTAACAGGTATTGTGAAATAAGAAAGTGTTCAAATGGGAGGGGAGTGGAGGGGAAGGAGGAAAGGAAAGAAAGAAAAAGTTTCAAAAGGAAAATGGGAACAATATTTCGTAAATGGGGAAGGGAGGAGATGTTGAAGGGGGAATAGGGGAATGGGGAAAAAAGAGAAGTAATATCATGTACAGGTGCAGATTCTCCATCATGAATGTGATCAATATGTACATCCAAAATGTACCCATAAAAATCTGATTGGGAAAAAAAAAAAAAAGAAATAGGTCAGGTCTCGGCAGCCATATGAATAGATCCTGGTGAAAAAGGGTGACCATCCTACAGGACCTTGTTCAACCTATTTTCTACTAGCCCCAACACAGTGAGCCCTCCTAACAATGTAAGGCAGAAACTCATTGGCATCCTCATTAATCCAATAACTACAGCCACAGAACTCCACACACTGGGCCATGGGAGTTTCCCACCCATCTGGAAAAAGCCAAGGGATAAGTCCTCACAATCCAGCTCCCCTTGGCTTCCTGCTCTGGCTCTTCAGCACTGTTCAGCTAATGTGTCTTTAAAATTCACAGTAGCACCTGATTGGCCTCTCACACTGGTTTGTGTTTGCTTGTTTGTTTTTTGAAGTTAATTAAGAAGCCAGATAGCTGGAGGCCTTCTTTCTTCCTATATTGCTGAGACTTATACAGAACAATCCTGTCCTATAGGAAATATAGCAAGTTACTAAGCCATCCATTTATAGCAATGTAATACAACTCAGGAATGAGACTGATTTGAACTACACACCAAGATATGGGTGAAGAAGTCAGAAGAATGCCCTCTGCACTATTTGGTAATGAATAAAGGGATCAGGAAGGGTCTTTCCAGGGTTTTAGGTAATTTCTTAAGAGAGAGGTAGGGACAATTAGGGCATCTTTGTGAAAATGCACCAAACTACAGCTCACAGTCTGAACTTTAGTAAAAGAAGGTTTAGAAACAAATTCCCAAGACCTAGAATCACCCCAAGACCACTATGCCAGGAGTCACATGGCAAAAGTCACTTACCCCAATCCAATGGCTAGTAGATGAGACAGCAGCAGAGATGGTAGAAAAACCTTCAGAAATTCTGCTGAGAAAATGCCCCCTTTCTTCATAACGCTCGTGTTTCTCATACTGAGAGTAGCTGTGCGCTTCGGGTGTTTAAAGAGGAACTCCCTGGGGGAGGAAGAATGTTAGTGTTAGTCAATGTGTCCTCTGCTAAACCAAGAACCCAGGATACCGGAAACAAACTTACTTAGGGGGGATATTTTCTGGCCGACTTGACCAATCCCATATCCAATCAGAGTTTTTCTTCAAGATGCTTTCAACTTCTTTCCGTCTCTCAATATAATCTTCCTCAGACTAAAATAAATAGTAAACCACAGATTAGCCTATCACACTCATACCAAAAAGCATGAGCTCACTACATGGAACAGAGCCCAGAGACACAAGTTCGGTTTCTTCGATCACAGTCCAAAGGCACTGATAATAACAGGTGAGCTAGAGCTTAGCGTTCCGTCACACACCCTTGTTGGCACGCTCTCCATTACAGACAGACCCTTTCTGTGGCAGTACTGCCCAGTCTGTTTAGTTACTAGGTTTAACTGTGAGATTCTGTGTGATGAAGAACTGTGCAAAGACTACCCCAAAATAAATAATGTGACATGAAGAAAAGATGGTGGTTATAGCACTGGTAGTAAGAGCACAAAATGAAAACAATTCAAAATGGCTTAAAACAGGGGTAGTTAAGAAAATATTATACAAGAGCTTTAAGCAATGTGTTCCATTTAGGCAGGAAGAAAAAAGAAATTTATACATAACTTTAGCTACATTTTAAAACTTATGTAAGATTACCAAATACAGATTTTAAACTATGGATTATAGATGCTTTTCTCTGCTTTCTTATAGTTTTAAAATCTGACCTGAGCTAAAATTCCTAAAACTCAGGGGAAGGGGTTATAATATCACTCCAGAATGTACGTCTGAAACTTGGCAAACATCTGGGTACACCAAACACAGACATGAACCTTCAAAGTCTAGAAGCAGGTCACATGCCCTAAGAACTCCTGCTAACAAAATCAAGCTCTGGAAGCCTTTGGAGTCCTGGTGGGGGCCAGAATGCTATCTCTGGAAAGTCTGGGGAAGCAGAAGACACTCAGTTCCCCAGTAAAGGTGCCCTGCAAGGAAACAGCATGGGAGGAGGCAGAACCAGTATTAGCATAAGTCCCTGTTTCCTAAGACAGCTCTAGAATTACAAGAGGAAACTTTACCAATTTCTGTTCTTGCCATTAATTATGCAAGAGAACATTTACTGTGCATCTCAAACGCACAAAGCATACAATTGCTAAATGTAACTAAAGATATTAATTACTGATCACTATTTCAAAAGCCTACACAGGAGCAGAATGGAGTATTATAGTAAATAAACTAGGTCAATACCCCAGCTGTACTTTTTCCTCACAGATTTATGCCCTTAAGTTTTGTGTCCCCACAACAATGCTAAATGTCTGATATGTAAGACTCATTATCTATTAATGGTAAAAAAAAAAGATATGGAAATTTCTAGAGCCATGAGTTCCTAGTGCTAAACTTCCCAAGCAACAGTTGACACTGGGTATTAGGAAAGGCCTGGGGTATATTTATCACATCCAATGAGGAAGACTCCCAGAATCATAACCACAATGGGAAGGGCCCTGCATGACTCTGTAGATGATGCCTGACCCCTTCACTGCCCAATCAATAGCCATGATAGTGAGTGTACCCAAGCAGCCACCAAGTGCCACTCAGTCCTTCTCTCTACAGGGTGCAGGGACGTGAGAGCCCTGCCTCTATTCCCGTCTCTGGATGGCAGGCAGGGCAGTGGAGCCCCATGCTACACACTGCACATTCCTCACCGCCTTCCCTGCTCAGCTCGCTGTGAACTCTATGTGTTGTCGAGATCCACATTCAGTTGTTTTAAGGTTTTTCTTTTGGGCGGGGGAGATGAGGCAGGGTCTCCCTCTGTACTCCAGAGCCTTGAACTATCCAGTCCAGGTTGGCCTCAAGTGCTAGGATTATAGGTGTGGACAATGCCCGGTTTGTCTTCTTTTTAAAGGCAAGAGATATACCCTATTCTTTTTCTCCCCCAGATAGGGTTTCACACATAGTTCAGGCAAGTCTTGAACTCACCATGTAGCCCAGTCTGGTCTCAAGCTCATGGTGATCTTCCTGCCTTAGCCTCATCAGTGTTGGGACCACAGGTGGGCACCACCACATCCAATCTAAATTACTTAACTACATGTGAAATGGTGAACTATACAAACACATCTCAAATGTTTAAAACTGTTCATTTTTCCCCAGCTTACCTGAGAACTGTTCTTTTCTCCAATGCTATGTGTATCTGTTTCAGAAGCTCTATTAATATCTTGTGGTGTCTGTGAGCGAGGTGGGCTAGATGATGCAAACAGAATGAGAAAAACAAGAGCACTGTGGTAACATTCTGTCATTGCAATGTGTTAACATTCTGTCATTAGAAGCAAAACCCCAAAAGCAGGTTAAGGACAAGACGGACCGGTGCAACCACTGTGGAAATCAGTTTGGAGATTCCTCAAAAAACTAGGTTTCATTTCACCCAGCTATTCCCCTTCTTGGTATCTTCCCAAAAGAATTAAAAGCATCACTTTTTTTTTTTGTACCAGGGATTGAACTCATGAACTAGCATTTGTCAGGCAAGCACTTATGCTGCTGAGCTAAATCCACAGCCCTACATGTTTACAGCAGCACATTTTCTAATAGCTAAATCTTGGAAACAGCCCAAATGCCCATCAACCGATGAATGGATAAAGATTTTTTTTTACAACAGAATAGTATTCTGCCATACAGGAGGATAAGCTTGAGACATTTCTAGCTAAATGGACGTGCCTTGAGACCATTTTTCTTATTGTTTTTTTTTTTTTTTTTTTTTTTTTTGTCTTTTGAGACAAGATCAATTCAGGCTGGTCTTGAGCTCACTTTGTAGCCCAGGCTGAGACCATACTCTTTAAGTGAAATAAATTGGACACACATGTGTAAACATAGCATTGTTTCTCTAGTGTGAGAATCCAGAAGTGTAAATAAGGACCAAACTGTACAACAGATCATGAGGAAATAGGAAGAAACTGTTCAGATGAGATGAACAGGGATGGTGGACAGGAAAGAAGGGACAACAGAAAAAGTGGAAATAAAGCTTTTATGAATAAGGAAGGGAACAGAAGTTGGAAGGGAATAGGAAAAAAGACACTGTGTAAGGTTCCCTATGATGAATGTGATCACTATGTATATCACAATGGACCAATAATAAAATAAAAAAGGATAGGATGGAAAGTTCTCGCCAGTAGACAAGTCTTCCCTTCTGTCCAATGTCAGACCAGTGTCCAACAGTTGTTTAGTCTTTTCAACTGAACACAAAAGGAGTTAGCCAGCCAGTCTTCTGGAAAAGAGGCGAGAGGAGCCAGGGAATCACTGGTTCTCTCACCCAGTAGCTACAGAATCTGTAACAGCACTAAAAAGCACCTGACCTTTGATCACTGACTCCAGACCACGCCTCCCTGGATTCACTCCTACACTCTGCTACCGAACCTGCAGCTGTCTGACAAGCACACTGAACAACAGGAGTGCATTTCTCAGACTCAGGGTTCACACTGTAAGGGTCACCTTACAGAGCTAGCAGGTCGCAAGGGGTCCCTTTGTTGTTTTCTTCCTAAGTTTAACGGGGGTCCCTGCAGACTAAGCCCCAGGTCATTTCCTCCCACAGGGTCAGGTTCCTCCAGAAGTCTCTCCCAAAGAGACACGACGCACACATGTGACTGTTCTTTCGCTTAGGCCACCAGCACTGTAAAGCACGTACCTACTCACACCTACCTGTCACAGTGAGAACTCTTGGAGCTGCTCCGTCCAGATTCATGCTGGGCATCTAGCAGTATTTTTTCCAAGTCACCATTATAAATAGAAACTGAGGCTGGAACACTGCTCCCATTCCCATTATTACTGAAGTGCAATTCTACCCAGGAGCCTGAAGAGGATTAAGAAAAGGCATGGTTGGAATTTTCTACTTACTTTGGAATTCAGTCATAACGTATAATCTGCCCACTCTTCCATTTCCAAGCAGTACCAATGGTCACACATAATGAACCATTTCTTTGTGCCCACTTCAGACACATGGGTCACTAGTGTCCCAGTCTCCCTAGGTAGAGCACCAACCCTGAGGGAGGAAATAATGTATCTATATCTCTTCCATTCTTTTATGCAAAGCAGATGTTTGTAAATCTGCAGTCATCAAGGGTCCCATGACTACCTTCCTGCATTCCACTTAAAGAAAAGTCTAAGGAATTTAAAAATTTCTTTTAATGGTTTAAACTCTTTCTTTGAGACAACAGTGTTGCTATGCAGTTCAGCCTGGCCTTGAACACTTATGTAGCCCACGCTGGCCTCCAGGTGACCCTCCTGCCTCAGCCTCCAGAGTGCTGGGATTACAGGCGTGTATCACACTCAGGTGAACAGTTTAAGCTTTATTTTGGTACCAGGAGTCAACTCAGGACCTTGCACTTACCATGCAGGCACCATGCTGCTAAGCTAAATCCCTGGCCTGAACAGTTTAAATTTTACACAATTACATTCTGCACGGGGAGATGGCACACAACACAGCTTAATTCTTCGATTATCCCCCTTCCTCTCCCAAAGCGTAGTAGTACACACCTATAATGCCAGGAGGATTGATGGGAATTCAAAGCCAGTCTGAATCAGTGAGACCCTGTCTCAAAACAAAATAAAAACCCCTCTCCTCCCTCATTGCAATCTTGTATTACATATGTTTGTAGTACCTAAGGATCACATTCCTCTGACCAGCCTGGCATGGTGGCGCATACCTATAATCCCAGTACTGGTGAAACTGAGGCAGGAAGACTATCCTGAGTGAAGCCAGCCCGTGATACAAAGTGAGTTCAAGGCCAGGCTGAACTGTACAGAATGAGTCTGTCTCAAAAATAAATTTAGGGCTGGAACTTTAGCTCAGTGGCACAAGCGCCTGCCTAGCAAGCGTGAAGTCATGAGTTCAATCGCCGGTACCCCCCCCAAAAATAAGTAATAAGTAAATAAATAAATAAATAAATGTAGCCACTCTGGCCAGGCATAGTGGCACATGCCCATGGCATGCAAGCCCAGCACCCCAGCAATCAGGAGGCTGAGGCAGGAGGATCACTGTTGAGTTCAAGGCCAGCTTGAACTATACAAGGAGACCTGGTTCAAAAAATTTAGCCATTCTGTTGCTATGTAGACATATTCTGTGGGATTTATTCTGCATTTCTCTGATTTCTAATGAGGTTGAAGACCTTTACACGTTTGGTGACCATTCAAATGTCATCTTTTTTGAACTAGCACTTTGAATCTCATTTTTTTCTGAGTTGCCACAAGAGCTCTTATTTATGAAAAATAGTCCAAATAAAAATTCTTTCTCCATTTAAATGTGATATAAGTTCTTATTCTTTAAAATTCATCTCAAATTTAATGCTTACACCTTGAAAGAGGTCACACCTCCTATTGAAGACTGCCTCTGCTTCCTCTTCTGTTCTGTGATGCTACCTTTCCCAGAAACTAAGCATGGATACATCCTGGGCCCAGGATAATTTCTCCAGTTTGGTTCATAGGTTTATTTATCTATAGCAAATTGTTAAAAATTAGCCCTGACAGATGTCTGGCGTGGAGTGCACACCTGTAATCCGAGTACCTGACTGAGCAAGAGGAGTTTTAAGGCCAGCCTGGGCTACACAGTGATCCTGTCTCAAAATTTAAAAAACTAAATAAACTAATTTTGTAGTCACTATAATTTTACTAAGTACAATAATAATCACCCTGATCTGTTCTCTTCCTTAAACCAATACAGCACCATACAAAACCATGTAATTAGGGAAGAAATGGAACAGCCCATTTATCAATTCACTATTTGCTAGATAGTGGCAAGGGTGGGCTGTGCAGCTTTTCAACAAACTGAGCATCTCCTAAGAGGCTTCACTGGGCCTCAGGAAGACACCTGTTTGAGTGTAAATCATATTAATCACAAAAAGTGAATCAAAGGCCCCGAATGAAATGCGGATTTAAATCTTACACTACCAAGAGCCTCTCAGTAAGTTAGGAAATGATTACATTTAAGTTTTAAGTAAACACATGCCTATCCGGCTCAGCTTCACACTGCCCTCGCCACAGAAAGCACAACACCACCTCACCCAAGGCCAGGCCCGGAGCCACTTTGCTTTGCACATCAGCAGAGGGTACGGGGCCCTCAGGATGCACACACCACCTTAGGGCTGGAGTCCAAGCCCTCTGCTGCTGCTGATGCTTGACAGGGAAGCATCATCACAAAGCTCAAAGCTGAGTCCTTCCCAGCCCTTTTTGCCTCCTGAGTCTTTTGGAATACAGCCAGCCAGTCAGCTGTGGCCCACCCGCCTCCTGGGCCACACCCTCACCTCTTGGCAGTTCCAGCCTTTTAAATTCAATCTGTGCTATTCAGATCTGGGTCTGGCTCAAGTTACTTGACTACACTAAAATAGTGCTCAGATTTCTTATGGTAGCAGATGTAATGGAGTTTGAGGAATGTGGTGTCTTCTTTCCAAAAAACGTTTCCAGTACCAAACGTGGAGATTTTTCTCACACCAACAACCAATTTTCTGATACTAACTGGGTGTTCAACAATCCAGTTCTGACAATAGCAAGACCTGTATCAGATCTCATAAACTCAAGAGCTCCGTCCCACAAAACCTTATAGTCAGAGGCCGGGTATCCAGGCTATCCACGTTTCTACCCAGCCAACTACAAACTCAGTTGTAATTTGCTACAACTTAGGAGAACAACTTTACTTACTTTTCTGACACACTTCAGAAATGGTAGATGGAAGCAACACTGGGGGCAAGGAATGAATGAGAGAGGGGCAAACTACCTTCCCAACACCATGATGTATCTACCAACTCCAAAGCTCTGTAAAACTGACAATTCCAATGTTTTGTTCCCAAAGTTTTGTTTTGTTTTGTTAGAGACAAGGTCTCCATATGCATCCCAGGCTGGTCTCTCAACTCACAGGTGACCTTCCTGCCTCAGCCCACTTGTTTGTTTGTTTGCCAGGGGCCTCAGTCTCAAATCTCAGGTAACATACTAGTTCTTTCTGGTGACCTAGTAGTAGTCTAAGACTATGTATCCCAGGGCCCTACTAAGTTACCTCAGTAGTATAAACTTACCTGTATCCCAAAGGAACTGTACAAAATGCCCTCTTAGCCAGAGGCATGATGGCACAGGTCTGTAATTCCAGTACTCAAGAGACAGGCTGGAGGACTGCTGCGAGTCCAAGGCCAGGCTGGACTACAAAATGAGTTCGAGGCCAGCCCAGGCTACAAAGTGAGACTGTCTCCAAAAGGAAAAAGACCCTCCTTATGGAACAGGGACACTCATTAAATCCCAAAGGTTTAGGAGCTCTGTGCCAAGAACTGGGGACAATAACAAAAATGTTTACTAAACAAAGGGCAAATCAAAAATATAAAGACCAGTGTATTTCTGTTTTAGTCTGTGCCACTACAATGGGATACCTGTGGTGGTACATGTGCACCAGTAATCATAACACTGAGAGGCTGTGCAGGAGGGTTGCCAAGTTCCTCAACTAGCCTGAGAACTTAGTAAATCAGTCCCTCCTTCCAAAAAAGAGGGAGCAGGCTGGGGATACAGCTCAATGTAAAGGCCTTGGGTTCAATCCCCAGTACCACAGAAACAAAACAAACACAGTGGACAATTTCTCACAGACCCCTAGTCTGGGAGGCAGAGCCCTTGCTGTACGGGGATAATCACCTGTGGTGCTTTTTCACTGTTCTCCAGAAGCCCAGCCCCACCCCTTCTAAAAAGGCTGACTTGGAATGCTCAGGCAAATATTTACTGAACGGCTCTCTAATGGTGGTGATACACGGGCTGGGATGAATTAACCCCATAGAGCGTGCCTCAGCAGGCTGTTTGAATCACTGAAAGCTCTAAAAGGTTTGCCATCACTGGTCTAGAGAAGAGCAGGCGTCCAAACTCCTCCCAGATAGGGGCCTAAACAGAATCCAGTGATGTGGGATGGTGCAGCATCCCAGGAGAAAGCCCCAGGCAGTGGAGCTGCAAAACCTGGCAGGAATTAGTACCCCAAAGTCACACAAAGGTTTTCTTCTCCAGGACTCCTGAGCCTAGAGAAACTGCTTGTTTTACATTTAAATGCTTCTAAAATTAGTTGGCAATTGGGAAAGAATCTTAGGGTACATGGTTTTGAACATAAAAGTCAAACGAGTGAGTGATTTCAGGTTACTGATTTTATCTGTTTTGTTTTGGTAGTACCACAAGCCAGGCCGGCCTTTGCACAGAGCTATATCCCTGGTCCTTTTTATTTTCAGACAGGGTTTCACTAAACTGCCCCAAGTGGGCTTGAACTTGTAATCCTTCTGTCTTAGCCCTCCTGGAGAGCTTTTCTTTGTTTTTTGAGACAAGGTCTCACTATGTAGTTCAGACTGGCCTCAAACTCAATAATCCTCTTGCCTCAGTCTCCTGAGTGTTGTGATTACAGTCATTAAGAAGTCTGATTTTTCCTTAACTGTTTTCAGCCTTATGTATTACTGTACTATAGGTAAAATGTGTAAGATTCCAAGTTCAAGGCCAGTGTGAGTGAACTACACAGTGACACTTTGTCTCAAAAAACCAAAATCACAACTACAAAACAGAACTGCATGATGCTGTAATTCCTCTTCAAAAGAAATGTTTTTCTCCTCATTGAGTCTGTCCATGGTGGGCTGGCTTCAACAGAACCGTGTGATCAGAGCCAGCTGCAGATAAAGCAGCTGAGGAAGTGGAGACAGATCATTAAACACTGCTATCTTAAGTGGAGAAACCACTTTACTGAATTGTGCTATAGTACAAGACAGTTTGGTCCTTTAGAGAAACCAGGGTCACTTCTCCCTTCTGCAACCCTATCTGCATTAAGTAGTAACATATCAAAGAAAAGAGACCCAAATACAAGTGATAAACAGCTTTAACTAGGAAAAAGGTGTAAAAGGCAACAGAACTAATCAATTCTACTGTTAACACTTCAGGAAAAATATCTGTTCTCCAGAGGGAGCATTCACTGTTTCTTCTGTGGGTTTGATTACCAAAGTTTCCACAGGTCTCAATTCAGAAGTAAACAAGAGGCAGTCAAATCAGAATAGAGCAGAGAAGGTAAGTGCTGCCTCAGCTCTGAATCCAAACTGGAGATTCACATTTCGCAAAGCAGCTGCTAAGCCCCACGTGACTTAAGTGACCCCTCCTACACTGGACTGGATGGTGAACAAGTGCCCTGCCGCACGTACACTCAAGAGAATGGCCCAACGAATCCTTCTGTGAGTTTCCACACTATGTAACCATCTTTTTATAGAATAGACAAAGCAGAAAAGCAAAAATCTCAACTTTGCATTGGCAATGACTCAGCAGTTTTCTGAGTATGTCAAGGAACAGACAGATAACACTCAGAGCCCTTGCTAGAGACCAAATGTAAGTAACACACAATAGAAGTAAAGGGGGATTGATTCTACAGCAAAGTTTATAAAACATCCTAAAGGTCTCATTTTATAAGAAAAGACAAAAACTTCAATATTTCAAAGGAGTTGTCAACGTTTGAATTTAAAATGCAAAACCTAAATTACAGAATTTTTAAAATGTGATTGTAATTTCACATCACATATTACTCTACAAGGTATTCAGCTAATTAAGTCCTGCCTAAAGAAATCTCATTTAGAGTAATGAAATTAAGTCCTGCCTAAAGAAATCTCATTTAGAGTAATGAACAAAATTAGCTGCTCACTAGATTAGAATTTTTTTTTTTTTTTTTGGTACTGAGGCTCAAACTCCTTACTCCTTGCTTGCCAGGCAGGCACTTGTGCTGCCCAGCTAAATCCGTGGCCCCTAGACTAGGGGCCTTAATGAAGATATGAAATTCAGTCCTGGAGGCCTTAACTTATTTACATGCTTGTTTTTGCCTAGTGAACCCTTGCTTCAGTAAATACAAAGGTCAACAGTCACCAGGTTTCCCCGACAACTCTTGGGCTCTTGATTAAGGCTAAGGACTGACTGGCTTTCCTGTGGCCAGTTTCTCCTTGGGCCTCACACTCTGACTCACCAGGTGGATCTCAGGGCTACTACCTAGGCAGTTGTGTTATGCTGCAAATAAGTCACCGCACCACTCTGGATTTTCTGATCGGTAAAAGGGTGCTCTTGCGATCAAAACCAGCAACTGTCCAGGCAAACAACCAAACTTTCTGCTCAGGAACATAATGCAGTCTGCTACAGCTAGGTGGTGGGAGGGCAGTGTTCTTCTGCCTATTATTTTCTTAGCCTACAAACCAACCTAAAACTTTGTTTTGAAATCATCCTCTAGAAGAGCTGAACACACACTTTCTACCTTTTTTTTTTTTTTTTTAGAAACTTCTCATAGCTTACACTGAAAAAACCAGCAGTCAATGACTTGTGCCCTAAATATAAAGGTAACTTCCCTCCCTCCGCTCCCCTCTTTAGGTCTTAAAGGATCTGGTGGCACACGTCTATACTCCCAGAGGCTGAGGCAGGAGGATAGCCAAGAGTTCAAGGCCAGCATGGACTACAGGATAACTCCAAGGCCAGCCTGAAATACATACCCTATCTCTAAACATACATACACACACACACTCTGAAAGAGTTCCAATGGACCGGGTGTGGTAGCGCACGCCTGTAATCTCAGCACTCGGGAGGCTGAGGCAGGAGGATCGCTGGAGTCTGAAATCAGCCTGGGATAAAAAGTTGAGTTCAAGGCCACCCTGAACTGCATAGTGCAACCTTACCTCAAAAAGACCAAAAAACAAAAGGGTTCCTGCGGATATAGATATTGACGATTAAAATCAAAGCAAGTAATACTCAACTTGCAACGCACCTGGATCTTGTTCGCCGAAACTAATGTTGCCTGAATCACTGATTATGAAGGAAAAGCAACATAAAACTGTGGAGATCTTAAATCGTAATTTTAGGTACCCCTGGCCTGGAAAAACGTAACTTAGGTCAAATGCCCAGGTTAAATGCACACTCCGTCCGCCTCCCCATATCCCCGAGCCGAGTGCGCCCACCGCTCCGCGGGATGCCGCTGCGGCCTCCCCTCAACCAGTTTCCTCCACTCACACCCTACTGGCCCTCAGCACCACCCTTCGCGACTTCCCCGCGGTCTCACCCTGCAGGTTCTCCTCCTGCAGTCCGGGGACCCCGCTCTGCGACATGGCACCAGAGGGTACACGGCCGTGGGTGCCCGAGCCCAACTGTGACAGCGCCTCGGCAGCGGTTGCTCAGCAGCAGGCGAGCCACGGGCCTGCCTCTGCACTAAGCACAGGCCGAACAGAGCAAAAAGGACGCGCGCGGCGGGGCGGAGCGGGGCGGGGCTGAACACGAACACCTCAGCCTATCCCATGGGCCTCGGGGCGGGGCCTGCTAGGGCAGGCCGCGGGGCGCGTGCAGCACGTGCGGCGCGTGCGCGGGGCGGGGTCCGTGGCGCGTGCGCGCGGAGATGTGCGTGCAAAGTTGCGGAAGTGCGAGGGGCGGGGCCTGCGCGTTTCCTGGCGCGGCTGTCTGTCTGAAGTCAGCAGAGTGGGAGGTCTCCTTTCCGGTTCACACCGGGTGAGTGGGAAGGTGCTGAGGGCCGATGGGCGCGCTGCCCTGTCTGGAGTGGAGAGCTTTCGGCCTTAGGGCGGGACCCTCGTACCCCTCCTTTTTTGGGAAAACAGGCGTGGGTGCACGTGGCTAGGGGTGTGGAGAAGATGCTGGCGCACCGCTCGGGGAAAGGAGGCCCGGGGACTGAGCTCAGCGAGCGTGACCCTGCCATCCCTTCGGACACCACTCACAGCCAGCCACTGCTGTCCACCATGGCCCTCACCTCCACCAACGCCATCAATGCCAGGAACTAGATTCTTAAGAAAATGTAATAAAAATTAACCTTACATTGAATTCCAGGGAATCTTAATTAGACATTGGGTGACAAAGGAGAAACTTGCGCATTACCGGCACTTAATTCAGGAATGGAGGGTTGTGGAGTCTGATGTGTAAGAAATGTGTTGGTAGAAAAATTATAAGCTTAACTATAATTAAGATGCGGGTGTAACCCCCCAAAAACCCAGCTGTAGCTTCCAAACAATTTGAGGAACAGAAAGAATACTAGGAAGGGCAAGGTAGCAAGGATGTGAAAGATTGGAATAACACGGTTAATTTCACTTTAAACATTCCTAGATCTTTAGATCTTTTTTTTAAAAAAAAAAAACTGGTTGTGGATTGGATCCTAAAAAAAATATTTTCGCCAAGCACACAGGCACATACCTGTAATCCTAGCACTCCGACAGGAGAATCATGGCAAGTTTAAGGGCAGCCTGGGCTACATAGTGAGTTCAAGGCCAGCCTGAACTGTGAAACCCTGTTCAAAACGACCAAAAAAACACCTCAGAAGTAGAAATGAAGTTGAATGAAATCCCATACCTGTGTAATCCTAGCGCTTGGGGAACTGATAACAGGAAAATCAATTCCTGGCCAGCTGGGCTGCTTAGCTCAAAGTCAACATCTAAAAATGTAGAATTTTTCTCAAAAAAGAAAGAAAGAAAAAAAAAAGGCCTACAAACAGTAATTGTCGCACTTGGCACAGTGGTGCACACCTGTAATCCCAGAACTCAGGAGTTCAAGGCAGGAGGATTAAATAATGAGTTCAAGGTCAGCCTGCACTACATAGATCCTGCTTATAATAATAATGATAATAATAATAAAACAAAGTAAGGGAATTGTTTCCATATTAACAAAAGAAATAGGGGGTGGGAGACTTAGCTTAGTGGCTCAAGCACTTGGCTGGTAAGTGCGAGGTCATGAGTTGGATCCCAGGTACAAAAAAAAAAAAAAGATTTGGAAAATTAGATGGAAAGTGAGTTGCATGTCTGTAATCCCAGTACTCTGGGAGGCTGAGGCAGAAAGATCCCAAATTGAAGCCCAATCTGGGCAATTTAGCAAGACTTGTTTGTTTGGTACCAGGGATTGAACTCATGATCTCGCACTTGCCAGGCAGGCACTTGTGCCACTGAGCTAAATCCCCAACCCCAAGAATCTGTTTTAAAATTTTAAAAAAAATTTTTAAAGGTCTGAGAACTGAAGACCCTGCGTTAAATCTTAAATGATGAGAAAAGATGACTTAAAATGTTGAACATAAAATGAGTATTCAAAGATTCTTAGAGTCTTATTTTACATATGATAAGTACATGGAGATTCATTTTATTGTCTCCTTTTGCATATATTTTTTTCTCAGTAATGAAAAAGACAAAACAGCAGTAGATACCAAAATCTAAGTAAGAAAGTTGGCATTTTTAACATATTTTTTAGCCTTACCTTCTCCAGATCTTACTGAAATTGTCACTAGTCAGGGTCCACAGGTGCCTCACAGAGGAAATGGAAACCTCAACTTACTCAGATAGGTTTTTTTGTTGTTTTTGTTAATGGGAGTCAAACTCACAACCATGAGCCTGCCAAGCAGGTGCTTACGCCACTGAGCTATATCCCCAGCTCTGTTTTGTTTTTCACCAGATAATTTCGTGACTCTTGCCTCAGGGAAAGAATTTCAGTGAGAGGCATGTGCAGATTTACTAGGCAGAGCATGCAAACCCCAGTAACCTTGGCATCAGGAGGCTGAGGAGGGAGGGTCACTGTGAGTTCAAGGTCAGCCTGAACTGGATAGTGAAACACTGTCTCAAAAAGACCAAAAAAAATTTTTTTTCATAGAGAAAATTTTGGGGTACCCAAAAGTGACAAGTGCTATGATGTGACCTTGAGGACATGTATGTGTGTGTTGCTGAGAATTGAACTTTGGGCCCTGGGTTGTATCCCAACCCCCTCCCTTTTATTTACTTTTTGAAAGCTTCATTTTTTAAAAACTTCTATTTATCTATTCTTTGGTATCAGAAATCAAACACAGGAACTTGCGCCTGCCAGGCAGGCACTATGCCACTGAGCTAAATCCCTGGCTCTTTATTTAGTTTTTGAGACAGGGTCTTGCTAAATTGACAGCATTTGAATTTATAATCCCTCTGCCTCAGCCTCCTGTGTAGATGTACCACTATTACTTATATATTCATTTGTCAATAGACATTTTGAATATTTTCCTTTTTTTGTTTGTTTTTCCTTTGGTACCCAGGATCGAACTCACGACCTTGTGTTTGTCTGGCAGACGCTTATGCCACTGAGCTAAATCCCCAACCCTGTTGGTTTGTTTTTCATTTTCTTTTTTTCTTTTGTGCTTAGGACTGCACCCAGAACCTCATGCATGCTGGGCAAGTGTTCTGCCACTGACTTCAGCCACATCCCAAGAATTAATATTTTAAAAATACCTACTCTTGGCAGGGGCAAGGTTGTGCATTCCATCCCTGGTACAAAAAAAAATTTTTTAATCTCTTCTATTGATGATATGGACACCTATTTGAGGATAACCTGAGGCAGTATGGTAGCCACTGTTGATCTCCTATTATCTTGTTTTAAAAGTCCTGTATCACTTTGTTTTGTTTCAGTTGGTTTTATTCTGCTGTTTTGTTTGACTTTATTAGGTATGATGGTGTGGACAGCCATTTTTGAAGATAACATAAGGCATTATGATAGCCATTGTTGATTTTCTATTTATCTTGTTTTGAAGTCCTGTATTACTCTCATTGTTTTGTTTTGATTGGCTTTATTCTGTTTCATTTTGTTTTGTTTATTCTCTTTAAAATAAAATTTTAAAAAATACATCTACTCTTCTAAGCCACACCGTGTATTTGTTGTTATTTAGGTCTCCTTTATTTCTTTTAGCAATGTTTTTTAGTTTTCAGTGCACAGATCTTTTGTCAGAGGTATCCTTAAATATTCATTATGTTTGATGTTTTTAAAGAAATTGTTGAACTCTAGTATTTTTTATTTATTGCTAACATGTAGAGATACTGATTTTTGATATGTGATTGAATCCTGCAAAGGCTGTTCAATATAAATTTTGTAAACTTTGGGAAGTTTCTAGGCAATTATTCGGAAATGATAGTTTTGTTTAAACAAGTTGTATTTGGTTTTAGTAGTAGGGGTCAAACACAGGGTCTCTTACAGGTTAAGCACCTGCTCTATCACTGAACTTCTACACCAGCCCTATCCCAGAATTTTTAAATGCAAGGGTTTTCATTTTACAACCAGCTTTTCCTCCACACTGAGAGCCCTCCACAGCTCTCAGCAACTTCTACACTTGTAGAACTTTGTGCAAGTGAGAGACCTAAAGCATCACCTTCAAATAGTGTCACGGTTAAGTATCTTTGTGTGCAGTGAAAGTGATGACATAAAGCCTTTCCAGGAGAAGCACAGAGGATCCCAAGTCAGAGTTGGGGAACCAACAAAAACAGAAATGGGAAATGGGCAGGCAGACATGCTGGAAGTGTCCTCCATTGAAGGTGCTCCGCTCTGTTAGTGGACCCAGTCCCACTGGCTCACTGCTCACTGTTCAGAAACCAGCATCTGGGAGCTGAGGGTTGGTGGAAAGAAATCAGGTTTATTGAAGGACTGTCTTGAGATGAGGGAGGCATTACTGCTCCCCAATAAAAGAATACTTAGGAATTCAGGCATGTGAGAGACTTTCACAGGGAGGGCAAATGCCTTGGACAATGGGCAGGATGCTGGTTAGGGTTAAGGTGCCCCTCCCCCTTCTTTTCCTCTTTTATTTTATTTTTTTATTTGAGGCAGGATCTGACTTTGTGGCTCAGGCTGACCTTAAGTTCACTGTATAGCCCAGGATGGCCTCAAACGCCACACAATCCTCCTTGCTCAGCCTCACAATAATGCTGGAAGTATAGGCATGTGCCATTCTTGGTTTGTTTCCTCATTTCTTTTGGCCAGAACATCACAATAAATCTTGACTTCTTGGGACTAGTTCTTCTAACTCCTTACGCAAATACGTTATTTTCCTACAAGATAAATCTCACAACAGTGTTCATGCTTTGTGTTAGTTGGTGTATTGTACAAAGGAACAAGCAGGGGCATTACACATTCTGATCTAATCTGGAGGTCATCAGGTGTTCTAGATTTTGTAAATCTAGAGAAAGATTACTGGGTAGTTAGCCTTTTATTCATTGAGTGCAGTTTCTCTTTAGAATTCCAGGCAAAGGGAGGAAAAGTTACTTGGCAAAGCACAGTTCTCAAAGGAACAGCCATGGTTAAATTACCTTCCCTACCTTGAAAGATGTGTTGCTTTGTACAGAAATAGTCTTCAAAGATTTTCCATCCCTCTATTCCCTAGTAGAATTTTGAATTCTCTCATACTTTAAGTAGACATCTAAGTTTTTTTTATCATAAATGTAAACAGTTGCAAAGATTTTTATTTCTGCCATATTGTTTTGTTTCGTGACAAGGTCTT